CACATTAAACAAACCAAAAGTGACGCATCACAATCAAATTATTCAAATGCGATTTCGCGCCGTTGTTTTTTTTTCAGCGCGAAATTTTAATTCAAATTAGATCACCACAATTATTTAAATAATTTGTTATTAAAAATATTTGTGCAGTACTTTTGTGTGTATTTTTATAGACTTTAAAATCAACAACACAATAATATTTAGAGTAAAATTTTAAAATACACCCACAAAAATAATATAAACCGGCTTTCACAACGGTCTAGCGAACGGAGAAATCTAGTGAATTGTTGAAAACCATTTTGATGGATGCAATTTTAACACAACGTAACTCATTCAAGATTACAAGTTGTTTTTTGACAAATATACAGGGTGTTCGAAGCTATACACTATATCGTTGTATTAATTTAAAGAAATACCGTATATACTTTTTTGCAGATTTAGACTTCTTATTAAAAATGGAAAATGATATTGAACATGTGTGGTGTCCTGATTTGAAAATTTGAATTTCGCGCTGTGAGAAAAAAACGCCCCGAAACCGCATTTAAAAATTAAGGTCCTCTAACGATTATAAGTAATGTAAGACCAGTTCAGTAGCGATTTTCTAATCAGAAAATGAAGAATGAAGAAATAAACAATCTGCCCTCCATATTTTGCATTTTGATGTACGGTTACTTTTCCATTCTTGGGTTTCACCATTTTGCGTTTGAAAGCATTTCGCCATTAAAAAAAAACACGCGCAACATAGGTTCTATTTTGTTGGCGATCACAGTTCAAGACTAAATTTTGAAGTTTTTGCGGGTTTTAAAAGTTTATGCACATGTTTAATTTTGGCGGGGTGTTTGAGTTATCACAAACACAAACAAAGGTTTTTTTGAACAACAGTTTTGTGTATACAGGGTGAGTCACTAAGGTCCTCGATATCTTAATAATTGTTAACGATGTAAAAAAGTCAGTGACTAAAGTTGTATGTCTTTTTAAATAGCACGCATTAAAATTATCTTCGACTTTACAGAGTGTTTTGTTTTTGAGGTTGTGGTGACCGAATTTGAATCAAATTGTCGCGCTGAAATTAATTAACAGCGGCGCGAAATCACATTTGAATAATTTGAATTTGAAAGAAAGAATTCAATCAAAAAAATCGTTAAACATAGGCAACCAGGTGCACGGTAACGCTTGTTGGATAGTTGGACAGTTAGTAGCGTTTGGAGATTTTAGTTAGAGGGTTGGTAGACAGAGGGCAGCATGTTGAAAGCGGGAGTCATTATGTTTTGGGTTCGGTGTAGTGGATGCATGGTGAAAGGACGCTCTAAGTGGCTAGGTTTAAATTAGCTGGTTTGGTAGTTAATAAAAGGGAAGAAGTTTCCCCAATCCGCGTGGCTAATTCTTGCGCCCTTTTAATCGGAAAAAAGTGCGGCTTTCGGTCAACGCGGACTACTTGATCTAGATTTGTTTTGTTGTTTGTAAATTCACCAATCAAGTTAGTTTTTTTAATCGTCAGCTAGTGCTAACACAATTTAACAATCAGGATTATTTAAATAAACCACTTACTAGGAGATTTCATGAAATCCATTTAGTCAGGATAATAATTCTTTGTTTATCAAATTACGAATAGGTTTCTGGATGCATATACGTAAGTGTTACATTATAACACTTCATAATTCTTCACACAAGATTGCTAATAGTTCATTTACGGCAGTTAAATTAACAAAGTTCATACCGCGAACTGACGGGGGGTTAAAATAATTTCTTCCCTTAGGCGGTTATCATCGTTATGATCATCGTTATTATCATCGTTATTATGATTACATCACCGGGGCATGCCCTCACAACGCTAAAGATTGATTACTTCATCGAGGCATGTCCTCGCAACGCTAGAGATTGATAACATCAACGAGGCATGTCCTCGCAACGCTAGAGGTTAATAACACCATCGAGGTATTCCCTCGCAACGATAAAAATTTACATCACCGAGACGCATGATTGGATCTTTTTGTGTTTATTTATTATGTGTTTTGTTGGGGTAACCAGTTCGCGGTATTTTAAACTCTCAAAGTAAATTGTTTTTTTGAAGTAACCAATCACTTAGATCATGATACAATTTGGCATAATGTAAACTCTGTTTGAATCGTTGATAAAGTGTGGCAAATATTAATCTCATGTAAATTTTGTTAACTTTGCAATTTTTCACCTGATACAATATTTCTCTAATCTCACAGTTTTAACTTCAGTAATTTTCCTTTGTTGTACAATTTTCATTGGACGTAAATTTCATCCTCTGTAGTTTTAATCTTACATAATTTTTATTTGCACGCAAGTTTATGTCACACCAGATCTTTTGTTTTTCATAAATCTTTATTAGTTTTGTTTTGTAAATATTTTGTTGGTGAATGTGTCCATCTTATAAATTATTTATGTCCAATTTTAATCCCACATAAGAATTATTTGTTGTTTAAAATTTCACAAGATTGTATGGCCAATTTAAATGTTGTTTGCGATAGATAGAATCACCGTCGAGGGGGGAGAACAGCCCCGACCGGTAGGCCCCAAACTCCGCTTGTGCTAGAACGCTCCAGGGGTACTTTTGTAGTGCTCCTGTTAACTGCCGTAACTTTAAAATTGACGCCACACCCCCGTAATAACTTGTGTATTTGGATCCAGTTACTTTAATTCAGATTTTGCTTTGTTTTTATTAAATTTGTGATATTCAAATATTTGCATTGATTCCAAATAGACGTATAGGATTTTGTGTTTGTTCGTTTTTCATATGTGTATGTCTGTCAATTCGCGAGTGTCTTCTCTTTCATATTTTTAAGGTGTTTCATTTGAAATGTAATATGTCAATGAGGAGTGAATGCTCGCAGCTTTTTTCCTCCTGAAGAGGGGGTGCGAATTTTAGGCCCCTCCCAAAAACAGTTGTCTATTATTTCTTCCGCTCTCGACTCATACGCAGTGTATGCTCACTTGTATGAAAGAACGTCTTCCCGCCATAAAAAAAACGCAACGTAGGTTTCCATTTTGTTAGACGATCACAGCCAAGGCCAAATTTTGAATTTTTAAATTTTTCGCGGACCTTTCAAACTTTTTCAAGGTCAATTTAAGGCGGGAAGTTTGGGTTATCACAAGGTATAGCACACAACTTTTTTTGCAATAGAATGCCTTATATATTTTTTGTTCTTTTTAGGCTCTTCTTAGGCTTTATAATCATACTTTATTTTTGAAATTCCAATTTTTTGAATTTATTAGTAGAATACAGTGTTTATAAAAAATTGAACTTTGCAATTTTCAAATATCGATATTTCAGTTTTTTTTTTTTTCAAATAGAACACTGTGTATTTTTTTACTGCGTCTTACTCTATTTTTTTGTTCTATTTCTTTCAATATATCGATGTGTTCCTTAAAAAAGTAAGTGTCAACCTAAAGAAAAACCTAAGTTAAATGTAGAAAATACTTCACAAAATCGAAAGAGAATACAAAGGAGAATAAGATGCTTAATAAAATACACGCAACTCTATAATTTAATTTTTTTACAAACATTGTTATTAAAACGCAACTTTATTTATATTTTATTTTATAAAGTGCGTATTTTCATTAACTCTCCTTAGAATATTTTAAGTCAGATTTTAAAAATCCTATTACGATTTTTTTGTGAACCCTTCCACTGCTAAAAAAATAAAAAAATAGAATATATAGAAATATATAGGGTATTCTACTTAAAAAAACTAAGTTGTGTGTTACGCCTTAAAAATAACACTCTGTATAGTTAAAAATTAATTTAGTATATGATCCTCAAAGAACTGTACAACTTTAGTTTCAGACTTTTTCTCTATTTCTAATAATTAATTTGATATCGTGGAGTACCTGCTTAGTGACTCACCCTGTATTTGCATTCTCAACTTCACTATATTTAAAGATGGAAGTTTCGAATTTTGCATAAGACTTTTTAATTAACTTTTCTTGACAAATATAAAAGAATTTGAAGTCTGTTGTAATATATTATTTGCACAGGGTGATTATATTAAAATTTGTTAAATTTCTAATACTTGTCAAATGGGACACAAATATTTTTGAGCTCGTTTTTATGCCAGTTTTAGTGTTTTTACGAATCATTATAAAGAAAAATCTGCAACGAACCAAACGAATCCATCAAAGAAAGGTTGGTTAGAGAGAAATACACACATGCCTTAAAATATAGGATGTTCTATCTGAAAACAGGTGAACACTGACAATTTGCAAATTTAATTGTTCTAGATAACCAAGTTTCAACTTTATTCGATTTTTTTATACTTGTTTTAACACTAGATGATTAAAAATGTTTGTGCAAGATTCCAAACTTCCATCTTTAAAAATGGCGGAGCTGTGAATTTTCAAATATGACCATTTTTTCCATTTTTTGTAACCTTTAAATGGAATATTTTACGTATTTAAAAAAACTGTAAAATGGATTCTAGTAGATTTCGTCAAAGTATTTTCCCGATAGTTCACTGAATACAATCTCACTTTAAGGGGAATTGATAATTAATCTAGAGTGCTATAGTTGTTGTTGTGGAGCGAGCTAGACGTCGTGCACAAAGTGCTATTTAAGTCAACAATTTTTAGACTGTTCATTTTGAAATGAAATAGAAAAAGTCAGGCTTAATAACAAAAATGGAGAGCTAAAGTCTGCAAATTTTGATATCAATATACGTTCAGGTATATGTTTTCACCGAGAAAGGATTAACTGATTACTGATCAATAATAATAATTATTAACAATTAACAATTAACAAAGGTGTGTTTGGCGTGCTAATGTACATAATTTACAACTGTGACGATGGTTGCCGCAAGGTGAAAGAAATTAACATTTTTGTGTTGTGAAATCATTAAAAGTGGAGCTCGTGGAACGAGCAATCCGTTCTGATATCTACAACAACTTTTAACAAAATTTTTTCGTAGTTACTAACATTCAATCAAGCATATTCACAGTTTTACTTTAAGATGTTATATTAATAAAGTGATTGTTTTTACCAGTATCTAACTTGAGCGTCCACATTTTCGTCTGGTTTCCGGTCGACCAATTCATACAGCGGAGCCGGATAATCGGCTTCTTTGGGATTTCTTTCAGGTGTGTAAAAATCGAAAGCGTCAAGAACAACATATTCCAAATTAGGTGACAATGCTCTGGGATCATAGTAAACTAAAAATCAACTTATATATAAAAAATAAACCTTCTTTTTGCACTCACCTGTTGAGTTAACGTTTGGTAATACTGTCAAAGTAAGCAACAGATTTTCAGCTTTGAAAGCTCCCCTCAATTCTCTAACCAAACTGACAAATTGGTCTCTATGCTCAGCAGCATTTTCGTCAAGTACTTTGGTTCCTCCAACTGTCTTTTTAATGGAATGCCAAATTCCACCAATCTTCGATCTAATTTTCTTTGGCTTGTTTTCGGGGAATTCCCAAGCAAGGTCTAGACCGTCAAAACCATAAGCTTTGACGATGGTGTAGGCTGAATTGACGAAGGCCAATCGGCTTGTTGTACTTTCCAGCTGCGAAGTCAGCGTTTAAGTTAACTTTAGATATAGAGGAGTTAAAAAATTACCAAGGTTCTGTATTTGATATTTTTTTCTTCCTTCTCGCCACTCACGTCGGCGTTGCCCCCAACCGACAAAAGAACTTTTAGTCTAGGGAATCGCTTTTTAAGATCGGTAACTTTTCGGTAGTTGTCTTTGATGGTATCAAATTGTTCGTTGAGAGGGATCAGTTTGTAAGTTGATTCGTCAATGGCTGCGGACCCATAAACCAAATGGGTGCAGAGGTCTAAAGCTGGTACAATATCTGATACGTCGAATGTTGCTGGACCTAGAAAAATTAGCGTGTTTGTGTGACTGGCTTTTCCACACATTATGTTTAGTTGATTTTAATGTCTTCCATTTTATGTCATTATTTCATTAAGCAGTGTACACAGTTTTTTCCTCTAGAGAAATAATGCTACTTTCAAAAATTTTTCTAATTAAATTACATCTAGTTCGCGCAAGGTTGAGCCATTTCCTGATAAGAATTTACAGCAATTGTGCATCTTAAGGAATAGTTATCATTTTGCATACATTATAAATAGACTGTTGTTAAGTGGAATAACAGCACAAAAAATAAACATCATTTCTGACTATGATAACCTTGTCATACCGATAGAATTCTACGAAATAAAACCAAGTAAATAAGCTACGGTTCACTAATTATCACAACTAAAAAAATAATAAAAACAATAAAAAAGTAAAACATTATTAAATTTATAATTGTAAGGAAATTTAAGACTTAAAATGTTGATACTTCATGGTGCATTGTTTTACACTTTATAGCACTAACCTCATGATGTAATTGAACACCCATACCTGTGTCATAGCTGTATGCAAAACAGTATCATGTCATTGGATCTCAGTTTCAGTTCACGGTCAAAAATGACTAATACTGTTTTTAAGTCAAGGTAAATGTTTGAACAACTCTCATGATTTGTTGTTATTTCATTTTAAAAAATACTAAACCATCTAAATAAATCAGAAAACGAAATTCTGTGAAAAAAAAGTGAACTTACCTTGTCTGAGGTGAGATTTGCTGTCATAATAACAAACTATTTTGGGTTCGGCTTTGCAATAAGCCGCAAAAGCGGCTATTACGAGTAATACCAGTGGTTTGAAGGAGACCATCGTCGAGTGGTGTTGGTGCTCTACTGAATGCTCAAGTGGTTTGGCAGTCGGATATTAAAGAATCAGCTCACTACCCACCGGTTTATTATGGTTGCTTACTAACACTTTGTTGTTTACTAAGTTAAACAAATTAAATTATTTATTGTGGTGTGGTCGGGAATGTATCCACCGTGGAACATTTTTTGTTCTTAATTTTGGTGGTTACGAGTTTGTTATAAAAATGGTCTGACTGATATATTTGTTTATTCATTAAATTTGTTTTTTTTTTCCATAAATTCGTTACAGTTGTGAAACAAAATGTGTTTTAATGTTAGGTTGAAAAATGATTTATTTTTGGCCATATTTTGTCATTTGCAATTCTACGTCGTATCGTCGTTCTAAAAATCACTTAACTAAAATGGCAAAATTCTTTAGAAGTTAGAATAACATTTTTTTAGTCTTTAAGTGGTGATACGTTTTATTTTATTGCAAAGGAATAAATTAACCGTTAGAGAATGCACTTACCAAAGTTTGTTATAAAATTGGTCGTAATAGTTGTTTTTAAATATTGTTTTAACTATTTTTTAGTAAACTTTTTTTGTGATAGCTTTAAAGATTACCTCTCAAATTCTGTCCAACAGATAGACGTAAAAGTAATTTTTACGTTAACATATCATAAAAATAACATGATGCCTTATTAAACCATAAATAATGGGGCATGTCACATTATAAATTTCATGCGAGATTTACTTAACAAAACTGAACTGACGTCATTAAGTTGTTGGAAAGAATAAACCGATGAATTATGATCAGCGATTAACATTTATAAATTAAAATTTTGTTTTTTTTTACATTCTAGTCGAGAAAACATGAAGTTGTCCATCTGTCAAACTCTATTACAATAGCTGACGCTCGGGAAGTAAAAGTGAAAGTTAATTTAATACTAGATAATAATAATTAATAAATACATAAATGAATACAGTCAATGTAGTTGTTGTGTGTTAATTTTTTAATGATTAGTTGCGTGTCCTAAATATGTAGATAAATGCAACAGTTGAACTTTAATTAACGATGCTCTCAAAGTAATTTTTTCTATGAAGTGGTTCTTTTATATGATATTAGGTCGTGTTATCAATGTAATTACGTTAATCTGGTACAAAGAAATTTACTTTCTTATTTTTCCACGGTATCGGTATTATCAGAGTCATGTTGAGAACATGAAACAATTATTTCGTCATTCGTTGTTGTACAAATGTTTGTTAAAATAAGTTCGTGACCAGTTCTTCGAATTAGTTTAAAACTGAAACTGTGTGCACGATTACCAGAATTTTTAAATTTAGAAATGAGGTTTCTTTTAATTCACAGTAAAGTTTTTGATGCCATCGTCAATGTTAGTTGGTTATATTTAATTTTATATTATTATTTTTATTGTTTATTAGAGACTACTTCGGTTTCTGTGTTTTTTGACAAATCGCCACTGCATTATTTTTTATATAAAAATCGAAAGTACTACTAAGTCAAATGACAAACGAAACAAAACCAAACAAAACGAAAACAGAAAAACTGCTTTTTTGTATTCTACAAATGAGCAAAATTGGTCTCTCTGAATACATTCAGCGAATAAAAGGTGCTAAACTCGTGTACAAAAGGTACAAAGACAGTTGTTTTGTGAAGAAGAATTATATTGACATAATAAATTATATCTGTTATTAATTTGAAGCGTGAACAAGCTGGAATAACAGAACTACAAAAATTAGAATTTTGGTTTTTATTATGAGTTTCATGCAAAATTCTGTACACGAAACACGAAATTTGTCCATTATGTAAAACCTGACCATGAGTCGGTTTTAACGAAATTAAAATAATTTTTTATATGTTGTTAGTAGAAGAATAAATAAGGAAAAATGTTACTTCTGTAGCTATCTGTGTGCCCATAAAATGGGTAAAAAATTTCCTGGTAGGGGGTTTTGTAGTTTCTAGGATGTAGTGTAAAATTTATAACACAATTTTGATTTTTTTTTCAATATTCCTCGAATAAGATGCTACAGATATTGAAGAATATTATTTTGCACATTTTTGGGAAGATTTATTTAACAAAACCTTGAGATGACGTCAACACATTTTTGGTGTCGATGAACAGACAAATTTTGGTCGGAATTTTGTCGTCTAATAAAATGGCTGACAGATGACAGACACACAATCGACAGGCAGGCGGGAATGGACACCCACTTTTCTTATTCTAGGAGCTATAAAACGTTGAGAAAAAAACGATATTAGCTATTTGCCTAATCATGAAATATGGAATTTTTTATTACCTATTTTATATTCTTTGGACAAGTGATATAAATTGTTTGATTTTTCATTGTGTCATTTTCATTTAACAAACAACGTCTTAAGAATAAAAAATTCTCGCTTTATTTTTGAACGACTTCTTTCATCACTGTTTCCTGTTTTCAACAAATGTTTAATTTTTTTCTGTGTTTTGATTCAAGTTTTTTTCCGGAAGAAATTGTAATGTTTTGTGTGTCTTTCGTACTTTTCACGTTTTTTTTCTTGTTTTTAAGTATTAATTTGTTGATTATAATCGTGGACGTAAAGCCATTGAGATCATTTTCTTCTTCCTTACTGTTTATTGATAACCAATTTGTTCTTCACATTTTTCCCCAACAGAATATTCCAGAGCCGTTTCCAAATTTCATCCAGGACCTTTTTCTTGAACTTCCGTTTTCTACTAGAATAAAAATTCTTGTGACTTTCTGGACATAGTTTATTTTTTACTACTTTTGTAGTAAAAAATTGTAGAAACGTTGTTAATAATTATTTTCTTTCTCTCGTGTACCCCTTGTGTCGGGTTTTGAAGTAGATTGAAAGAAGAATCTCGCGCACTCCTTGTGTCTGGTTTTTGAAATGGTTTGAAGGATCTCGGGGACCCCATTTGCTTTGTTTTTGAAGTAATTTGAAAGAATTTCTGTGACTATTTGTGTTTTGTTTTTGAAGTAGTTTGAAAGAATCTTGCGGACTCCAGGTGTCTGGTTTTGAAATAGTTTGAAAGAATCTCAGGGAGTCTATGTGTTTTGTTTTTATAATAGTTTGAAAGAATTTCGGGGACACTTTTTGTTTAGTTTTTGAATTAGTTTGAACGAATTTCGCGGGCCCCTTGTGTTTGGTTTTTGAAATGGTTTGAAGGATCTCGGGGACCCCTTTTGTATTGTTTTTAAAATAATTTAAAAGAATCTCGGTGACCATTTGTGTTTTGTTTTTGAAGTAGTTAGAAAGAATCTGGGGACCGCTTTTGTTTTGTTTTTGAAGAAGTTTGAAAGAATCTCCCGGACCCCTTGTGTCTGGTTTTTGAAATGATTTGGAGGATCTCGGAGACCCCTTTGATTTTGTTTTTTAAGTAATTTGAAAGAATTTGAGTGACTATTTGCGTTTTGTTTTTGAAGTAGTTTGAAAGAATCTTGCGGACCCCAGTGTCTGGTTTTTGATATAGTTTCAAAGAATCTCGGGGACCCCATGTGTTTTGTTTTTATAATAGTTTGAAAAAAATTCGAGGACACTTTTTGTTTTGTTTTCGAAGTAGTTTGAATGAATTTCGCGGGCCTCTTGTGTCTGGTTTTTGAAATGGTTTGAAGGATCTCGGGGACCCCTTTTGTATTGTTTTTAAAATAATTTAAAAGAATCTCGGTGACCATTTGTGTTTTGTTTTTGAAGTAGTTAGAAAGAATCTGGGGATCCCTTTTGTTTTGTTTTTGAAGAAGTTTGAAAGATTCTCAGGGACCCTTCTTGTTCCGTTTTTGAAGTAGATTGAAAGAATCTCGTGGACCCTTTGTGTCTGGTTTTTTTAATGATTTGAAGGGTCTTGGCGACCTCTTTTATTTTGTTTTTGAAGTAATTTGTAAGAATTTCAGTGACTATTTGTGTTATGTTTTTAAAGTAGCTTGAAAGAATCTTGCGGATTCCTTGTGTCTCGTTTTTGAAGTAGTTTGAAGAATCTCGGGAACCCTTTTTGTTTTGTTTTTGTAGCAATTTGAAATAATCTCGATGACCATTTGTGTTTTGTTTTTGAAGTAGTTAGAAAGAATCTGGGGACCGCTTTTGTTTTGTTTTTGAAGAAGTTTGAAAGAATCTCCCGGACCCCTTGTGTCTGGTTTTTGAAATGATTTGGAGGATCTCGGAGACCCCTTTGATTTTGTTTTTTAAGTAATTTGAAAGAATTTTAGTGACTATTTGCGTTTTGTTTTTGAAGTAGTTTGAAAGAATCTTGCGGACCCCAGTGTCTGGTTTTTGATATAGTTTCAAAGAATCTCGGGGACCCCATGTGTTTTGTTTTTATAATAGTTTGAAAAAATTTCGAGGACACTTTTTGTTTTGTTTTCGAAGTAGTTTGAATGAATTTCGCGGGCCCCTTGTGTCTGGTTTTTGAAATGATTTGAAGGATCTCGGGGACCCCTTTTGTTTTGTTTTTGAAGTAATTTGAAAGAATTTGAGTGACTATTTGTGTTTTGTTTTTAAAGTAGTTAGAAAGAATCTTGCGGACCCCAGGTGTCTGGTTTTTGATATAGTTTGAAAGAATCTCGGGGACCCCATGTGTTTTGTTTTTATAATAGTTTGAAAGAATTTCGGGGACACTTTTTGTTTAGTTTTTGAAGTAATTTGAACGCATTTCGCGGGCCCCTTGTGTCTGGTTTTTGAAATGATTTAAAGGATCTCGGGGACCCCTTTTGTTTTGTTTTTGAAGTAATTTGAAACAATTTCGGTGACCACTTACGTTTCATTTTGAACTAGTTTGAAAGAATCCTGGAGCATAAAACTTTGACCATTCCGTACACGCTTGTAATTTTTGTTTTATTGTCTGTAAATTCACATTTCATATTAAGATTTTTAACTGTTTATTGTTTAAATACATTTTAACAATAATAGTGGAAAATGTGTGTGGAAAGCACGTGACGGAAATTCATTTATTCAGGCTCAACTTATTATTTTTTTATAATCATTATATCAGAAGTATTGCATGTTTTACTTAAGTTATCCACACTTCATCACTTTTCACTCAAGATTTTAAAATAGTTCAGTAGTGCCATTTAAACTATTCCTAAACGTTAATCCATTTTGAGAGAAAGTACCTTGAAAATTATCATCTGTTTAATTAATATCATTATGAACTCGAAATGATTATGTTTATGTTGTCCTGCAGTAATGTGCTATTTTCTTCCGAGCCTAATTATTTTTTCACATCGAATTTCTCGAATTCTCGACTTATTATTTTGGTTTTGACCGTATTTGCCTTGTTGTGTCTATTTCATGTGTGCTTTGTTTTATGATTTAATCATTAACTTGAATTAATGCATAATTTAACCTCATGTAAATTATTGTTGTTTGAAATTCTTGATATAGTGTGGTATAATCTAACCTTAATGCAAGTTCTTGTAATTTGAAATTCGTAACAGAGTGTGGCAGAATTAAATTTTGCTTATTTTCTGATTTGTAATTATATTAATCATTTAAAAGCAATAGATCGTGTGGCGCAGGCGGATTAATGGCGCTATACATACTCAAATAGGGACCTTTTTTACATTTTCATGTGAATTTTTATTTGCAATACCGGATTTTCCATCCTTGTCTAGCTGGCTGCGTCCTTAACGCGGATGGAAGCAAGACTCGGGAATACGAGTGTTTAAAATCCATAGCGCGTGTTGTGGTTGTGGTTAGTGGAGACCTTCACGAGGAGACGCCCTTCGCACCGCTCTGGCAATTTTTTTGCTTGACTCTCATTATTTAAATTTGATGTGGCGACACCATCGTACTAACTTATGTATGCAGTTACTTTAATTACGATTCCCCCCTTTTTTATGTTGTTAAATTTGTAATATTTAAATATTTCAATTGATTTGATTTCATTTCTGAAAACTGGAGGCAGTTTTTGCAACTGGAAAATAAGTTCCTTAGTAGCGTATTTCAACAGTTTTTCGCCCTCAATAATGCAGGAATAAACAAATTGCCCTCCATGTTTTGCATTTTATTTAAGGTCATTTTTCCAACCTTGGGGTTGAGCACTGTATTTGAAGGCATTCCACCAAACAAAAAAATATATACAATGTAGAGTTCCATTTTGTTGACGAGCATATAATATTTTAAAAATTAATTTCATGCCCCACTAGAGGACTTTTTTTACGATCATATGGTAAGAGCTAATAGAGTTCTATAACGTAAAACCCACTTTTACTCTAAAGGACAACAAGGAACAAAAACACAGAAGAGGGTTTTTTACATATAAGAGGTTAAATCCAACAAGTCAGACTGATGTACAAAATTTTATTTCCAAGTTTGTAATATCACGGTTCAAAGTTAAAATCACCTTACGGGACAGAAAAAAATTACGACAACGGAATTCTTTTACAGTTACAGGCGAAACTTAGCGGCACGGAGCAGAGGATATTTGTCACCAGTGCAAAGGCCTCTAAAATCATCCAAAGTAATATCCACGATAGCAATACCGCCTAATCCTTTAGCTTTGACGTATGAGGCTTTATTTCCTGCAGTGTCGGCATCTTCGTAGCCCACCCAGATGCCACCTTCTTCGTTTTCATCGGGTAGACGGAAAGCGAAAGTACCTACGAACAATTTAAGTCAATATTAAAATTTCTCAGGTCAACATTTAAGTCAAAGTAGAAAGCAGAGACGAAAGTCGCTGATGATATCATTTTTGTTACAATTAATGTCACTTTCATAATACAGGTTTAAACGAATCAAAAAAGCAGAAAATGGGAAAAGGGGTACCCTTAGACCAAATTATTAAACCTACCGTATCTCTTAGTAGCATCATTTTCGTGCCATTCGTCTGAAAAAAAGTCCCATCACCCATACTATGGCTACTATCTACTGGGACACAAAAAGCTCAAACATTACCTTTCCTCTTTGAGGGATCTCCCATTCTTCTCAGATGCTTTCCTGCAGCTGTTGATAGTTTCTGGGGGTTGGCAAGCTTGACGCAAATCTCAGGGTAGCTGAGCAACCCTTCTTCTTTACTGTACGGCCCTGCTTCAGCACTTCCGTCGATGAGCAGTGGAGGTACTCCACTAATTGAAGAATCTTCGTCCATCTTCCAGGCACGTCCGTAAGCAGGAATACCCAAAACGAGCTTATTGTTAGGAGCACCCTTCTGCAACCAGTACCTGACTTGATAGTCAACATTTTCGTCATATTTTCGGTCAATTAATTCATAGAGAGGTGCAGGGTAGTCGGCTTCTTTAGGGTTGCGTTCAGGGGTGTAGAAATCGAAAGCTTGTAGGGTGATGAAGTCGAGATTTGGGGCCAGAGCTCGAGGGTCATAGTAAACTGGAAGTTAAATAAATGCATAATGGTGACATCATCTGCATATATAGAGGCCACAATGTATTGTGTTCCATATGTAGGTGTATTTACCTGAACTATTAACATTCGGCAGAACGGACAATGTTAAAAGAAGGCCGTCGTGTCTGAACGCGTTTCTGATTTCGCGAACAAGGGCGGTAAATTGTTCTTTGTGTTGTTCAGCGTTTTCGTCGATTACAGACTCTCCGACGATTTTATGCTTCAGGTTGCTGAACCACCCGCCTGAAAATATGTCGTTACTAAACACGAAATTCTGTGTTGCTTGAGCTTACTGATTTTCCCGCGGATTTTCTTTGGTTTGGTTTGTGGGAACTCCCACGCCAAGTCTAAGCCATCGAAGCCGAAATTTTTGACTAGAGCTTGTGCAGAGTTGACGAATGATAGACGATGGTCGACTGATTCAAGCTAAAAAAAATGTTGTAATTATTGTTTCAAGAACGATTTTGTAACTAACGATTGTCCTGTATTTGATATTGTCATCGTCTCCTTTGTCTTCGTTTCCACCAACTGACAGAAGTACTCTCAGTCCGGGGTATCTTCTCTTGAGTGCTGTAATGTGTCTGTAGTTGTCTCTGGTAACGTCAAAGATTTCATTGAGGGGAACTGCTTTGAAGTTGTCTGCATTTATGCCAGCGTAGCCATAAATCAAATGTGTGCAGAATTGTAGGGCAGGGTCTATGAAGTTAATCTCGAATTTTCCTTGACCTGTAAGAATATAAGGATAACTGATAAAATAGCAGCTTAAACAACAGACAGATTTTATAAAGGTACTTAAATGGGCCGAAATATAACTCGGATCGATTAATTTTGAGAGAAAGGATCTTGCGGATTATCATCAGATAATTTAATGTGAATCCGGGCGTCTAGCTGGCTGCCTCCTTTACAGAATTTTTCAAAATTTTGTGTGTGTTCATACCTGTTGCTATCAATATACTTATATACTGTATACTTTATAGTGTGGTTATCAAAGTTAACGGAAGTATGATGTGTCGAGCACGTATTTTTAGCTTAAACGTCGAAATATGCGATGAAATGACAAAACAACTTATAAAAATTGTAGACTTTCTCAAGTGGTACGGAAAATGTAGTTTATTGACAGTTTTCAGATTAAACAGATGTAGATTACTCAATCTGAAGACTGATTTAGTCGAAAAACATGAGATATATATATCTCTTTTGTAATGAAGTCATCTAATTAAACAGGTATAAGTTCTTATAAGGTCAAGAGCTTGTAAGCTTAAAAAACAACTCTGTGATTCATCTACAAAATCCACTCTATTTATATTAATACATGCACGGTTACGCAAAAAATGACTACTGTAGCATAATTAAATTATGAACAGAACGTCACATGAATTCAAGAGAACCGATTGATAAAATTGTGATGACCTTACAGGTTATTTACATAAATCTCTCTCAGAGACTGTTAAATAAGCACCATAAAAAACACTTATTAAATAATATTCTCGAAAATCTATTTCAAAACTGTGGAAATAACCGCGATAAATATGATAGAAGCGATTTGTTAAGAAAAATAATTAATGTATTTATCATTATTTTTAAGATACTGTTCATGGTCGAAACGCTCTATTTACCTACCACAGTTCCATGTTCAAGGTAACCCCGTCTAACAAATATGGAAATTGCTCTTAGTAAGAGAATATTTGATGCAAATATGAAGTCCTAATTTCGTGCATCCTTTTTAATGTGATGTACACGCAAACTGTTAAACATTGTTATATAACAAGTACTTGACTTAACATTTATGAGTTCCAAGAACATCTGAACAATTTAAAATATATTTATGTAGAAACATAAATAAAATTGTTCTACATCATGTAACTAAGTAAATCGTTAATCTTTAATTTATAATTATTTATTTTCTCACATTTTTTTAAAACTTAATTTAATATCATTACCACAACAATGGAATTTCTGCTCAGTAGTTTGGAAATATCTTTTGTTGATATGAATCAAATAAAAAACACACCTTGAACCTGTCCAATTACTCTTTTTAAGTCTTCATTTTTCGATTTTTTTTAGTTGACCAATTATTACATTGTTGTATACATATATATATAACTCTTAGTTACTTTAATGATACAATTTCAATTATTTCTGAATTTACTTAATTTAATTTTGTGACTAAAAACAAAAAAATAAAAAACTTACTGTCTCTGAAATTGGCCTTGCTGTTGTAGTAGCACACAACTTTATTGTCGGCTGCGACGTAGGCCGCTAATGCCAAAAAGGCACAAATTGTAATTTTCATGGTGTCACGACCTCGATCGCGAAGCAGTTCACGAGACACTGGCGTTTACTTTCTTGGTGAGCTCTTTTTAGCAATTTCACACAAGAAGCGTCATCAATCTCATTCATATAGAAGGGGAAAAACTGCTGGGTGCAAGTTGATACTGATTTGTCAAAGCTTTTGTTGCATACGTAACTTTTCTGACTATACGTTTCCTAAGAACGTGATCTAATACATATAATTAATAGTTCAAATGAAATATTGCCGATAATAAAATTTACTCTCCATTGTTGTGCTCGCAAGTGATAACTCGTGATTTCGCGTTATTGAATGCTTCCTTCGTGGTCTACCATGAATTATTATGCATATTTTAGAATTCATAGTCAGCGTTGAGAATCACAGTGTTTTTTTTTTACTTTTTTTACTTAGATCATGTAGAGAATGCCTAAAATTGGTAAGATTGAATTAATTGATTAACTTTAGAAGTTTTGTAGACGTATGTAGGTTACCAAAACTAAAAAAATTTGTGGTCCAGTTCTAGTACTAATCTAATCTACGAAATGACGTAAACGAATTTTTTTTTTTAATTTTGGTACAGTGATTTTGTGATTATAAAAACATATTTGATGTATTCATCCTCCACAGAAAGTCGATTGCATCAAAACAATATTAAATAAGTGTTTATTAAGAAATACGCCTTAAGATACAGGGAGATATTTAGCAATTACTTATATAACACGTGTCAAAAAATTAAAGCCATGGATTGATTTATTTTATCGATTATTCGAACAGGATCGAATGCAACGTTGGTGTTCAGATATTCTAGTTTTAACTAGGCGACCAGTTTCATCTATGTAAACTCTGGTCTCTCTTTGACAGAATCACTTACAACCAACCCCAAACCACTCTTAAATTATCCAACATCCGAAAATTTCAGTCACTACTTTCAAATAAACTCTCCACACCACGATGTACAGAATTGCAAAACGATAGAATTTCTCGTCACGTCAGTTATCTCAATCTGAAGCTAATCTTCCTTCCAAAGGTGTGCTCAATCGCCCCCAGTAAAATTCCCATCGATGACCGAAAGAATACTGCAAGCTGAAGAACAAATTTTAGAACGCGTCGAAAAACAACCCGACAGCAGCACTCTCCGATTACAGCTGAAGTTGGAGTTTCACAGTTTGTAGTGCATCGTACATTAAAAGAACAAGGCCTCCATCCATACCACGTTAAAAAACTGCTAGCTTTGGAGTCCTCTGATTTTCAACGTCGTGTGAAATTACTGCGAATGTTTTTTTACATTAATGTCGTGAACGCTCTAACTTTTTAAATTGCATTCTGTTTACGGATGAAGCAGGATTCGCTCGCAATGCTATTTTCAACAGCTACAACATTCACATTTGGTCCACTGAAAATTCACACGTTCGTCAAAAAGTACGATTTCAACGACGGTTTTCCATAAATGTATGACCTTTATCGTAAATGACTGCTTAGTTGGACCTTATGTTTTACCAAACAGACTAAATGTGGCATAGTACCCCGAGCTTTTAAACAATGTGTTGGAAAAGCAGCTAGATGGAGAAGTGCCTCTAGGTGAACGAGTTCGCATGTGGTACTTGCATGACGGAACACCACCACCAACCAGTGGGTCGGTAGAAATGGCCTCCGCGTTCACCCGATCTTAGTCCGTGTAATTTTTGTCTGTGGGGTTGAATGAAACAGTTAGTTTATGGAAATCAACAGTATCTAGAAAGTATCGAAGAGCTTCAATAATGGTGGCAGCCGCTTCAGTTCGTGAAACTCCCGGAGTTTTTTTACGTATCTGCGCAAACATGTTGCGACGTGCTGAAGCTTGTATTGCTAGTTAAGGACATTTTCAACATTTATTGTAAAAATATGGTAGCATTCTAGGTTGCTCTTATATTTGTTCTAATAAACAACGTGGAATCGTTGTGTCAAGGATCAAACATCCGTCAGAATAAAAAGTCGATCACATGAAGCATTTGACCTTTAATGATGAATGAATACATGAAAAAACGAATTATAACCAACAAAAAGTAACAATTATTGCATATATTTCGAAATCACCCTGTACTTTCAGTCTTCTTGAATCATCTCAATAGTCAGCAGCTCGATATCAATTTCACAGTGGAAATAGAAAATAATGGGTCTCTTTCCTTTCTTGATCTGTTAGTCAAATGCCTACCCAGTGATCGTCTGGGTCATTCCGTCTATCGAAAAATCACGCACACAGATTCTACATGATATTCGTAATACACATATAACAATCAGTCCGATAGTTTCGGAGATTATTTGTCTAACAACAATCCACGTGGATGGTGGACCGACAGACAGAGAGACAGAAATCGGAGACTTATTTTTTCGTACTCTAGAGGTCATGACCCGTCGAGAAAATATGAAAGTAATCAGTCGTCCGATAAATTCGATTACAATACTTCCTTAGCTTATAATCCGGAAATAAAAAATCTAGCTAAAATTACGTGTTACTGTAACAGCAAAATTCCAAAATCTATATGTATATGAAGCAAAAAATTTCTTCAGACCCGTAATGTATGGATAATTATTTATCTATATTTTGTCTTTGCTATAAAACTTTTTGGAAATTTTTTGGCAAATTTTTCGATTTTCGTCCTTCTCTTCTTAGTTTTACTTTCTTGTAATTGTTAATTTTTAAATTTATTCAATTTCCATTTCTATTTTTTCCTGTAATTGGGTGTAATCCCGTTGGAAAATAAATATTATTATTATTATTATTATATGTGTATTATTTTTTTTATTATATTTCCATTAACCATTTTTTGGGCAAATCTTTAGTAATTATTTTTCTCTTTTCCTCTGTTGTTTTAAAAATATGCCAAAAAATACTCAGTCAAGAAATATATCTTCATAACCTAGATATTTTTCCTCTTTTGAATGGCAGACGATTAACCTTTTTTTTTTGGAAAATTTTTGAAAATAAATTTCCCTTTTTTTTCGATTATTTAGACAGATTAAGCAAGAATGACTGCACACACGTATAATAAAAATAATCACCTATTTTATTTTTTTTTGCTGCATAATGTCTTGGAAAATTTTTGGATTTTTCCTTTTTTTATAAAGTATGCATTTAAAGAGACTAACAAAAATGTACGCAATCGACAAAAAAGTTCTAAATATGTCTGTAGATTAGATTAGTTTATTTTTTTTTTAGACTAGAGTGTGATTAACTATTTTTTCTACAATTGTTAGAAATTATTCTTTTGTTTTTCTCATTTACTTAGACAGATGAGGCAAGATTGATTTCACACCCATAATCAACGAATTATCGTCTATATATTTTTTGTGCTATACATCTTCTTGGAAAATTTTTGTTATTTAAAGAGACCAACAAAAAATTATCGCAATCTACGAAAAGATTCTCAGTATGTATACTTCTTTTTCTTTTGAATAGAATTCAATTAACTATTTTTTGGACAATTTTTGAAAAAATATGTTCCCATTTTTCTCTTATTTAGACGGATGAAACAAGATTGACTTTAGATTCGTATTCATAGATATTTTTTTTCTTTGGTATACATATAACTTTTGGGACTTTTTTTGTGCATTTTGAAAAATATGTTCCAATTTTTCTCTTATTTAGACGGATGAAACAAGATTGACTTTAGATTCGTATTCATATATATTTTTTTCATTGCTATATGTATAACTTTTGGAACTTTTTTTTGTACATTTTTGAAAAATTTCAGGAATTTTTTTGGGTAATATTTGGAAATTATTTTCCGTTTTTCTTCCGTTGTTTCAAGAGTGGCAAAAATATGCACTCTACGCTCGTTTCTCCACGTGGTGGACATTTTTTTTCTTTTGACTTGAAAGCGATGAAGCTTTCTTTTGGAAAACTTGAAAAATATGTTCCCGTTTTTCTCTTATTTAGACAGATGAAACAAGATTGACTTTAGATTCGTATTCATATATATTTTTTCTTTGTTATATAATTTTTGGATTTTTTTTTACATTTTTGATAAATTTCAGGAATTTTTTTGGATAATTTTTGGAAATTATTTTCCGATTTTCTTCCGTTGTTTCAAGAGTGGCAAAAATACGCAGTCTACGATCGTTTCTCCACATGGTGGACATTTTTTTTTTCTGTTGAATTGAACCCATTTAAGCTTTTTTTTTGGAAAACTGGAAAAAGATGTTCCCGTTTTTCTCGTTTATTTAGATAGATGAAGCAAGAATGGGCTGAAACCTGCAATTATTTATATTTTTTTGTGCTCTTTAACTTTGGAAAATTTTTAGAAATTTTTTGGAAAATACTTTTCATTTTTTCTGAGTTATTTAAAGAGGCCACCGAAAATGATCGCAGTCTATGAAAAGATTCTCAGTATGTATACCCTCTTTCTTTGAATATAATTCGATTATCCATTTCGTGGACAATTTTTGAAAATCATTTTCCCATTTTTCTCTCATTTAGACAGATGAAGCAAGAATGACTCTAGGCTCGTATTCATATATATTCTTTTCTTTGCCATATAACTTTTTGGAAATGTTTTAAACATTTTTTTAAATTCCAGAATTTTTTTTGGATAATTTTTGGAAATAATTTTTTCCGTTTTCTTCCCTTGTTTCCAAAGCAGCAAAAATTCGCACTGTACGATTGTTCCTCTCCATATGCTAGACTTTTTTTTTTCTTTTGATCTAAGGCCGACTGAGCTTTTTTTTTGGAAAACTTGGAAAATATGTTCCCGTTTTTCTCATTTATTTAGATAAATGAAGCAAGAATGAGTTGAGATTCGTAATCATTTAAATGTAGAAATCCAAAAACACCCCAATAACATAAATAGAGATACTGGTTTCCATCTGCCTTATATTTGGAAATTGGCCATCCCCACCAGTCCGACACGCCCTCTACTACCACCCACTCATTCTGTATAATATAAATAACCCCCGCAAACCCATTTCCACTGAGAAGAAGTTTAACCTCGGTTTATTTCTATTCAGTGAACTTTTCGTTCTTTAGCCCTTTACTTTCTGAAAATGCTCGTTACAAATTTATTGTTTCGAAGCTTCTTGACAGCTATTTTGACTTCGATAACAGTTGATACCTGTACTTCCTCTTGTACTTCGTCTTCCAAGTTACACGTAGGTATCTTCTTCTTCTCCTTCTACTATTCCGCCATTTAAGGGCTCCTCAAAATATTCGGCTTGGGGCGTTATTTTCATGAAGTTTACTTTTTTGTAAATTACTTAATTTTATTTTCTGTTTTACACTGTTCATTAGTTCATCTTTCTGTTCATTTTTCTCTTATGAAATAGTTTTTTTGTACTTTTTTGAGCATTCATAATATTGTTCAGCTTCCATACTACCAGCGTTACTTAATTTCACTTGATAAACTGTAATTTTCGTCTTTAGGTTGACTTTTCACCCAGAACCTTTTCAGCTATCGACTTAATTACCTTTTTACCAAGATTCTAAACTCATCCATCCAGTTGACTAATCGTCAGTTCCAGTGAATCTACGCTATTCTCTACCTCCTTTTCAAATCGTTTCATTCTTGAGCTGTTCTCCTGGGTCCATGTTTGCACCATGAGGATGATGGATTTGGCCAGTCGTTTTACCGTCCGGGGACTTCTGTTGTTCTTGTTTGTCAACATTAACAAAGCTGCTGCCGTCTATACTGACTTCAGTAAGGCTTTTGACATACCATGTGCATTATGGTATATTAACGGAAAAGTTCTCTGCAAATGGAATTAAAGGCTCTTTATTAACATGGTTTAGGGGTTACTTAACAGAGCGAATACGACAAGTCAAATTAAATCATGGTCTTTCAGATAGTCGGCGTGTACTGTCAGGTGTCCCCCAAGGCTCGATATGAGGTCCGTTATTGTGTTCAATATATGTCAGTGATATTGGTAACCTTTTGCTTTGTCATTTTAGCTTATTCGCAGATGATTTAAAAATATACACAGTCATAAGAAACTCCATTGATGTTGCACGGCTACAAGGATTAATAGTGTTACTATCTGACTGGTGTGATAATTGATAATATCTTGGTTTTGAACTATCACAAATGTAGTATAATAAATTTCAGCTTTCACATAATGTATAAAGTTTCTTCGATGTTCCATGACTCTTAGAGTACAAAAACATAGGTCTTCTATTTCCATTTATCTGTCCGTTTCATATGTCATTTTTATCAAAATAGACAATCCCCGTAACTACTGGACCAATTGTTGTCAAATTTTGTACGTATATAAGGAATATCATTTAGATGGTAAAGTGCTAACCCAAAATATGGCTAGTCATTCCCACCAGTAGTTTGACGACATCGTCTTCAAATGTTACAACAGTAAGTGTTATTTAAATTTTATAAAATAAGATATTCTTTTATTTGCGGTTTATAAATCCGTGTTGAGTTTTTACTCTAGACATACAAATTTTTCGGAAAAGAATCAAAATTGTATAACAACCGGATACTCTGAAATTTTACAAACGTGTTAGGGTTATTGGACGGATGGTAAATGGTTAATTTATCCTTCATGCCCCCCTTCCCAAACTGATGATCTCATCTTACAATTTTGCCAAATAAAATTTTATATGAAGAAACCATGATAAGGATGGAGTCACGGTTCTGAGAGCAAGGTAAGTAGTTACTGTTTAAATTCTTTGGAGCAATTTTCTACGTGAGTGTATAAAGACTGAAAAAATTATAATATAATCATTCGAATCTTAATTATATTACGATTCAACGTTTTGTTTTTTTGTTTTTTTTTGTTAAATTAGTAGATATTATATAAATAAAATAATTATAAATGTAAAACAACAACAGCAACCACAATAACACATGCCATAATGACAATAATTTTTCGGTTCGTGTGAAAATAGCAACCTTCTGGTTTTTAATTACAGTTTCTTAATATGAAAAAAAACAGTGTTCTTTATATTGTGCGATCAACATAATTTGTAATCGAGTTATTTTTGAAAATGATTTCGTATGTCGGCGATTAAGCCACATTGATAAATGTCAATAAATGACAAATGTTAAAGCAAAAATGGCGGACACTTTTCAGTAAGATTTTTAATAAAATAAGTGTGAAGCTATAAGGAAACTTGGTATCAAGTTAATTAATTTTATTAAATAAGCATAATTAAATTACGGTAAATGAAAATGCTGCCTATTTGGCTGTAATAATAAATGAAGTCTTTGTTTAACTCCATCAATCATATGCCTTATTTTTTTGTTGTTAATTTCTTGTTATTTTCAGCCTTAATTCTGCCAAATTCTTGACGAATGTTCGATAGTGTTCTTTAAATAGAATCACAAAGAAAGTCTGCAGGAATAAGATCACAATATATTAATCAACAAAAGTTAAAAAACAGATAATTTGGACACCGCATTTTGTCTTGGCATATTTTAATGACTTTAAACATATCATTTCGAAGAAGACATACAGACTCAATTAGAAGGATGACTCGATTACAAATTATGTTGCTCGCCGGATATAATCACCAAAAGCGCCGTAAAATAATGATTGCATATTTTAATGTATTTAAAGATAATTAATGTTTTTTCCGCCTTGGACTAATATTTTGGCGATTTCGGGTAGGTAATTTGTTACCTTCAACCGGTAATACCGCATTTGATACTTGAATAATTAAATTATAGAGTAATAATTATTTTATAGCGGATTAAAAATTGCGTATAACAATAGACAGTACCAATAAAACTCACATTCAGCAAGACAATATTGAAAAACAATGACATCATCAATTTCCATTTAAATCAACGACCTTTCATTTTTGTATGGAAGATAACACCTATTTTACGTTCATTAGAATGAAGTTTGTTATGGCAAATTACAGTGGTTTTTTATGTCAGTTTAAATACATATTTATCACATTACGGATTTCCTTGCAACAAAAATAAACACAGGATTTTCCATTATGTTTTATCGACAGTATGAACAATAGATGTCACGTAGGTTCTTTCATTTAACATGTAACGCTAAAAGAATGCAAAGGTGAGACAACTAACTGTTTTATTTCGATTACAAATTTAAAAATTTTAAGCAAAAAATCAAATTAATTCGGGGCTGTCCATTTTTAGAAATGCTTACAGAGTTTGTAATTCTGATTCATAATAAACTTTGCCCTAGTTCTATTTAATTATTTGTTTAATTGCATTCAGCCAATATTCAATATTCATAACATTTCATTACAGACAACAAATAACAAGTGTTTAATTCTGGTAACGAGAAATGTGTTGTTTAATCTTTGCTGATAACCCTTGTTTTTGTTTTTCCATGTTTTCAATTATTTTAAAAATAACCCACTGTAATCAAAGACAGCAGTGCAATTTTGAAGCATCATGTCACAAATATGTCAAAATTATCAAATGTAAAATGTCGGATTGCTCAGAGTTACCATTTTTTCCCAAACATGAAACCAACAATTTACAAAACCACTCTGAAATCAGAATAACGTTTTTCGAGTCAAAATTTTCTCAGAGCCACTATAACTATCAGAATGTACCGATTTCAAGCAATGCCTGTACTCTGATTGCTGTCTTGATGGCATCCTATTGTAGGCACGAAAGGATTATTGTAAGTAGAAGTTTCTTGTAAATTATAAACTGGAAATAAGACTTTTGTACAATTTTTAGATAAACAAGCCTGATAGTGCTTTAAACGTAAGATTAATTTACCTGCTTGCATATAGCATTTTAGATGGAAACAAAATTCACGAAAACTTAAAAAACAAAGGTATTTTAGATAACTTTAATTTGACCGTTCCTGAAGCTATGAAATTTGCTGGATATCGCGCTGAAGGCTTAACTGAATGGGTAAAAATTAATCTACTTTATGTAATGTGTTATGTATATATTAATTTCAGAAAAGTATGATTTACATGGAATCTTTATTCCATTCTCTCTACGCCAACATAAAAAGCAATTTATTAGAATGGAACAAAAGCAACAAGAACAAACATAATTCTGATTTATTTATAATTTTAATTGCTGATAACAGAAGTGTCCTCTTTATTTTGCAAAATGAAACTGTAAGTCTATTATCATTTATACAGGCTTTTTCTCAATTTCAAAATTTCAGGTGAGCCTGGTTGATTCTCACCAACATTCAGATAACAAAGGCGCCATCATCGCTGTGGCTTTAAGGGAAAAATTTAACATTTTGTGTTTGTGGTACGGTCATATCATAAATAAATGTTACAAATGTGACCCCGGTTTATACGAATTATCGTTTTTGTATTTTCAAAGCAGAGATTGTAATCAACAACACTAATTTTATAGCGTGTGGTCAGCTATAATGTAAAATTTTGTAATGACTGCAATTATTTTCCTAAAATCAGGTTTTTCCAGTTGAACAATAAAATTCACCGATATTATAGATAACCTGCTTTTGATGTTCTTAGTTGATAGGAATATTGTTTTCGTTATGGCAAGATTATTCTCGTTCCATGTATTTCCATCTGATATCAGAAGTAACAATGTGCGACTTCCGGTTTGGTTTTCATACACAGATGAATGATTAATGTGGCACATGAAGTGGTCAAATTTCCAAAATTACTACTCGTTTTGTTTTACATACTTACTAAAATGCAATGGTTCATTTTAGTAACGATTGCTGAAACAATTCTGATATTTTAAACTCTGTATTTGACATTTCGAAGAATTGTTCATAATAAGTAGGTACGTATAATAGCTAAGGTTATTATGTTACTTTGAACTAAGTCTAAAGAAATAAATGCCATTTTGTGTAAATTACTTATATATTATTTATTAGTCGTCATAGAATTCACTAATGTATTACCGAATAAACACATGAATCTAGAAAAAGGAAACTGTGAAAATAAAAGGGACAATTAGCAGAATATTTTCGCAGGTGTTTGAAGATGGAAAAATTCAGAGAAAGAATAAGTTATCAATGATTCACGATATCGCACCTTCGGACATCTGTACAACCGAAATCGGATAAATGTGCATAACCAGAAACGGATTTTAAATTTAATAATGATGAAAATTAGGATTAAAACAAATACTAAAATGAAGAAATGCGTTTGCCAGGTTTCGAAAAAGGTTTCTGTTTCTTTTTTACTTTCGTAAGCGCCGTTTTCTTTTTTTCAATTAAAAATTCAGGGAAGAAATGAAAATGGCTGAGATTGGGACGTTTGTAAATTTTTACTATTACAGAAATGTCTAAGAAAAACTTACAAAATATCAAATGAAAAAATATGCAGGATAAAAAGATTTTAACTTTAATTTTAAATTCTTCCAAATTATAGAAAGCACATTTTCATAATTAGGTACATTTTTGCATTTAAACAATAAGCACCGTAGAAGAAAAATTTACGACTAAATACCTACGTTAGAATCTTTATCTTAATAAAAGCAGGAGGCCAGTGTTTCCTATATTTTTCACTTGATTATTTTTTAGTAATTTCCTTCCGGGATTCCAAAGACGCTTAATTTAGCATATTTTACAAGTTGATCGTTTATATATTCTAAGAATAAGAACAGTCCAAGAATGAAGCCTTGTGGAACACCATGCGCGATACATTTTCATTACGAAATATTGTTATTAATATGTACTAACAAAATACAAATAACACTACATAATATTAATACTTGATTTGTGGAAATTATAACAATTATTTAAATTGTTTTTTTATACTTACTTTTTATCTAATGGTAATACCTATGTTTAAAGTTTCCTCAACGCTGTCGTCATAAAGTTTAAGGGTTTGTTTTTCAGTCATAGAGGATTCATTTTTCTTGGACATGTTGACATGATTTCTTGTGGTGTCCGTGTTACTGTTATATTTATTTTTCACCATCTATCAGGTTATTTTTCAACTTCACGGACTGTGTGTCAATTTTATCAGAAAATTCTGGGAACGTAATGATAGTAAATAGGATTGTTGACACTTTTTGTAATCAATGATTTTTTTTCCTTTTTCTTTTCTTATCTTCTATTACCAGATATTCCACCAGTAGCACAAGAATAGTTCAAGCTTTTGTAAAAGCTTTTTGATGAGTGTTTTATTAATTTTAAAAACACAAGAACTGCGAATTTACTCGAAATAAAACAAAGTAATTTCTTATCCTGTATTCTTAGAATTTAGAATAATAATAATTAAATAAGTACTAAGATTGTAAAGAAAGAAACAGCCAACATTTAATTACGCGACACTTTGTATTAAGAACTTACACTTGACGTTAACTCAAGTTACAATTAGGTAAACGCATATCGACACATATTAATTAAGTGTTGGCATACACTTCGCTGTGAGAGGAATGTTCAAACAGGAATAAATGTTCAAAATTCAAGTTCTAGAACACATAAATGATTATACAAAATAAGCATACCCTTTACTGATTCAATTGATAATAAATTTAAAAGTTCTTCGTCTTAAAATGTATCAATGTTTAAATTAAATTTTCAAACTTTGAATGAGAAGTTATAAAAATTAAACAATAACTTAAGGAAAACTATTCAGCATTTTAGATATTACGACTAAACTACTACTTAATTAAATAGGTGAAATTCTATCATGTGTTTTAAATTAAATCCCTACAATAATTATTTAAACAACAACGCATAACTGGCCAGAAGCACTCCAAAAGTTATATCTAAAAATGTGTCAGAAACTTGAACCTTAAATAATCGATAAAGCACAGAATTGTCTTGTAACCATGTAATCGAAAATGTATGCAGCCTAAGTACGTGGCGTATTGGATAGAAATATCGCGTGTCTGAAATTATTACGAGTAATTTCTCCATTGTCATACATGATTGCGCGAAATAAATAATTTTTACCCTTACGAGTACAAACGAGCCGTGCACAAATTCACCAGACTGGAGACTCTTTAACTGTGTAGTCAAAGCAATGACATATAATATAGTTACGAAATAAACCCATACGCTGCCCCGGTACGATGCCTATGGGTTTTCTAGTATGTGCCGCGATGATGGGTGACTCGTCATTCGTGACAGTGACCCGGCGGCGTTCGCATATACGCAAGCCTGGAGCGGGTTGCCGGAAGTCTCCATTACGGTGTGCAGAAAAACCTCGAAGCGGCGTTCGCGAAGCATTCAGAGGAATGCATGGATTTAAACAGAAGACCTTCGTAGACGAGTGAGTCTCAGTCAACAAGTGGAGTCCAGTAAATGAGAGAATGAGTCTAGTCAAATCCATTCGAGTCGAGTTGGGGTTATTTTGAACATAATCGCTGTGTAGTTAGTCGTGTAGTTATGTATTACCGAGAAATAAATTGGTGAGTTTTACCCATGCCGATTTTCAATTACCGCTCATCGTAACAATAATATACGGGTTTCCCGACCTGTCACGATTTCGCAGTGCATAAGATTGACGAATTGTTAATAAAATCCTCTTGTACTAATAACACTCGTGAGTAATGATTGTGTCTTTTTAATTTTTTATAGATTTGCACTTTAGTAAATCTAACAAAGAAAATCCATCTTATCGTTAACATATACACATTCTCGAGATGTCTTTTCTATTCGACTCCCAGAAATTCACACTACCAACAAATTTTGGGAAATCTGTAAATGCGTTGTGGTGACCGAATTTGAACTAAAATTTTGCGCTAAAAAAATTAACAACGGCGCGAAATCACATTTGAATAATTTGAATTTTGAAAAAAAAATCAATCAAGAAAATCGTTAAACATAGGCCACCATATGCACGTTCAGTTCTTTCTGCGTAGTTGGTAGTTCTCCTAGGGGAATTTGTGGGTAGTCTCTAGTGAGAGGGTTGGTAGCGAAGTTTACTTGTTTGGTAGAGGGTAGGTGGCTCGTCACTGTTGTTTCGGTTTGGTGAGTGAAAACACGCAGTAAGGAAGTTACGTTAAGTTTAGTTGGTTTGGTAGTTAATAAAAATGGGGAGCCTTTGTTTAATGAAACGACGCGTAGCTAATTCTTGTGGTTTTTCCAAGCGGAAATATGCGAATTTTCGACCGACGCCAACACGTGGTGTAGATCTGTTTTATTGTTTGTTCATGTTAGGATTTTAATCATTAACTGGTTCTAACACAATAAGTTTGTTCAGATAAAGCACTTGTTAGGAGTTTTCATGAAATTCACTTAGTCAGGACTCATTCTTGCATTATAACACTTCTTGATTCCTCACACAAGATTGGTAATAGTTCATTTACGGCAGTTAAATTAACCTAACGTTGTCCCACTCTGGGAAAAGGACCGTGAAGGTGCGATAGAATTCATAATATCGTGGACTGAGCTACGGGGGTATTAAATTTTGCACTCAAGCAGTTATCATCGTTATCATCATCACATCATCGAGACATTTTTTCGCAACGTTGAAAATTATACCACCGAGAAGCATTTCTCGCGACGCTGGATGCAGTTTGTGTTTTTTTCTTAATCATGTGTTTTGTTTGGGACAAGCCGAGGACAGTCCACGTATAAACTTTCAAAGCTAATTGTTTAAGTAACCAATCATTTTGATAAAGTGTGGCATAATTTAGCATAACGTAAATTTTCTGTCTGAGTCGCTGATAAAGTGTGATTTGAGATTAATATTGAGGATCTTCTACATAATAAAGTTCATTGTTAAAAAATATTGACTAACACAATGATTACGTCTGGTATCAATGTTGTAGACTGTCACCATTTAAAAGATTGTGAAGAACAAACAATATGTTGGTCATATAATAATATATTAGGTTGAAAATTTGAAGTTTTATTTAAATAGCCGTTCAGTTTCCATTAGAAAAGACGAACGCAATGTGATAGTATGATCATTAATAATGTTCATAAGACGTCAGTTCTGTGTTGTTAAACACGACCGAAAAAGTCTACTTGTAAAAATCATCATTTTTAGAGAAATTGTTTGTGGTGTCCCGATTTCAAAAATTAAATTTCACGCTAAAGAAAAAAACGGGCGGTACCGCATTTGAAAAAAAAAAAATCACTAACGTAGGTAACCATCTATGCATGGTTATGCGGTAGGGATATTGGCGAAAGGCCACTCCATCCTTTGCGTTGGTAGTTCTAAGGAATTTGTAAGACAGCGCAGGTAGTTTTGAAAAGGGCCTTGGGCCATTTCCTGTTTGCTGTGTTGGTGAAAACCACGTACTTAGAATTCTGATTGCAATTTCACAAAAGAGCAATTGTTTAAATAAAAATGAATGTAGCCCCTCAACGAGTGTAATTAGTGTAAGACCAGTTAGTTTGTGATTTTCTAACCTAAAATGTGAAACTTTGACGAATTCGCCCACACGTGTTAATTTTGTTTTATTGTTTGTAAATTCACAGTTCCTGCTAAGATTTTTAATTAACTATTTATGGTTCTAATACGGTTTAACAACAATAATCTAAATGTTCACATAAAACACGTGGAGTAATTGACTTATTCAGGCTCAGCTCGTTTTTCATAACGATGTACTTATCTAAAGTTTTGAATGTTTTTATGTGGTTATTTGCACTTCTTGTACGGTATCGCATGGCGGAGGCGGAATTACTCAAATTGGGAGCTTTTTTCCATATTTATGTCAATGTTTATCTGCAATACCGGGTTTTTAACCCTAGTAAATCAGGTTGTCTATAGTTTGCTGTGTCTCATGCCGCGATGGAAGTGAGCACGTGTTGTGGCTGGGGTTAGCGCAAAGATGCCCTTCGTACCGCTGTCGTTACGCTATCCTCACGTTACGTAGTCTGTTTTTACTCAGCTTCATGGTCTTTCTCTCACCTTCGTAATAACTGTTCAATGCATTTGCATCCAGTTACCTTAATAGCGATTTCTTCTTTTTTCTTTGTGTTTTTAAATTTGTGACATTGATATAAGTATTTGTATTGATTTGAACATTTGATTTCATTTTTGAAAGCTAGAGAGGGTTTATGCAGCTGGAAAATAAGTTCAATATTGTGGTGATCGAATTTAAATCAAAATTTTCGCGCTGAAATTAATTAACAGCGGCGCGAAATCACATTTGAATTATTTGAATTTGAAAGAAAAAAATGCAATCAAAAATCGTTAAACATAGGCAACCAGGTGCACGATAACGCTTGCAGGATAGTTGGACAATAAGTAGCGCTAGGGGATTGTAGTTAGAGGATTGGTAGTAGACAGAGAGCGGCATGGCGAACGGTCAGTCTGAATGTGTTTTTGTGAATGTAAACACGTGGTGAGAGCTAGTTTAAATTAGTTGGTTTGGTAGTTAAAAAAAGGAGGAAACCTTTGTTTAACGACAATCGAAAATAACATGCGATCTTTCAACGCGGAACACGTGCTGTAAATTTGTTTATTGTTTGTAAATTCACCAATCAAGTTAGTTTTCTTAATCGTCAGCTAGTGCTAACACAAGTTAACAATCAGGATTATTTAAATAAATCACTTGCTAGAAGATTTCATGAAATTCACTTAGTCAGGATAATACTTTTGTTGTTTAATTACGAATAAGTTTCTGGATGCATATATGTAAGTGTTACATTATAACAGTTCTTCACACAAGATTGTTAATAGTTCATTTACGGCAGTTAAACTAAATCATTATACTGCGAACTGGCGGGGGTTAAAATAATTTCTTCCCTTAGGCGGTTATCATCATTATTGTCGTTGTTATCATGATTACATCACTGACGTATGTCCTCGCAACGCTAAAGATTGATTACATCATCGAGGCTTGTCCTCGCAACGCTAAAGATTGATTACATCATCGAAGCTTGTCCTCACAACGCTACGGATTGATTACTTGATCGAGGCATGCCTTTGCAACGCTAGGGATTAATAACACCATCGAGGTATTCTCTTTTTTTTTTCTCGCAACGATAAAAAAAAATCCATCACCGAGACGCTTTTTTCTCGCTATGATGATTGGATATTTTTGTGTTTATTTTTATGTGTTTTGTTGGGGTAACCAGTTTGCGGTATTCTAAACTCTCAAAGTAAATTGTTTTTTTTAAGTAACGAATCACTTACATCATGATATAATTTGACATAATGTAAACTCTTTGTTTGAATCGTTGATAAAGTGTGGCAAGTATTAATCTCACGTATATTTCGTTAACTTTGCAAATTTTCACCTTATACAATTTTTCTTTATCTCACAATTTAGCTTCAGTAATTTTCCTTGTTGTATAATTTTAATGGAACGTAAATTTCCATGCTTTGCAGTTTTCACCTCACATTATATTTTTATTTACACAAGTTTATTTCACACCAGATCTTTTGCTTCATAAATTTGCTAACTTTTGTTTGTAAATATTTTGTTGATGAATGCTTCCATCGTATAAATTATTTGATGTTCAATTTTAATCTTACATAAGATTATTTGTTGTTTAAAAGCTCACAAGATTGTATGGCGAATTTAAATGTAGTTTATTGCTCTTTTGAAACTTTAACACTTGTTCAGTTGTTGTTAATATCAGAGTCATAGAGATTGAACATTTAAAATGGAATTGGGGTTAAATAATATAGAAAACGTGGCAGGGGCGGCCGCCGATGTTGTAACGTTCTCGGCTTCTGTCCTTGCCGAGATACAACTACGGGTCTAGCGACCGTAACGGCCTAATTTCGGACGGCATGTTCGTCCTAGAGACGTGTAACGTGCTGTTTGGGTAGGCTTTGCGATAGATAGAATCATCGTCGAGGGGGGAGAACAGCCCCGACCGGTAGCCCCAAACTCCGCTTGTGCTAGAACGCCTCAGGGATACTTTTGTTGTGCTCCAGTTAACTGCCGTAACTTTAAATCTGCCGCCACACGCCCGTAATAACTTGTGTATTTGCAATCATTTACTTTAATTCAGATTTTGCTTTGTTATTATGAAATTTGTGATATTCAAATATTTGGATTGATTCAAAACATAAACGTAGGATTTTTGTACTTGTTTGGTTTTCATATGTGTATGTCTGTCAATTCGCGAGTGTCTTTTCTTTCATATTTTTAAGGTGTTTCATTTGAAATGTAATATGTCCGTGAATATACGATAGGGGGTTTTTGAGGCTGCTCGCAGCTTCTTTCCTTCTGAGAGGGGGTGCGATTTTGCCCCCTCCAAAAAAATTTGTGTCTATTATTTCTTGCGCTCTCGACTCACACGCAGTGTCTGCTCACTTGTATGAAAGAACGTCTTCCCGCCACTTTAAAAAAAAAAAACACAACGTAGGTTCCCATTTTGTTAGACGATCACAGCCAAGGCCAAATTTTGAATTTTTCGCGGGCCTTTTAAACTTTTTCAAGGTCAATTTAAAGGCGGGAAGTTTGGGTTATCACAATATCAATTTATTTCAACAGTTTTTTGGTATCATTAATGGAGCAGTAAATAAATTGCCCTCCATATTGTGTATTTTATTTGAGATCACTTTTCCAACTTGCATTTACGCATTCTATCAAGCAAACAAAAAAAACACAACGTAGGGTTCCATTTTGTTGACGATCACAGTTCAAGGTCAAATTTTTAATTTTTCGCGGGTTTCAAAATGTTTGCACGTTTTATTTTATTTTGACAGGATGTTTGGATTAACCACAGAATGGTATACTGTGGATTAACACATGCTCAATACATTTTTTGAGAATAGTCACAGGATTAAAATTATTTCAATTGGATAACAATTATAAATTTTTAGGTAGCTTAACGGGTAGTAGTTACGGTTTACATGTGACAGTCAGTCTACGTTCCGGTTGAACAATTTTTATCAATAAAATAACAGCGAAAAACTCAGTTTACAGTTTCAAACTATAAATTAATTGAAAATATTAAAAATTAGAACGCTACCTACCAAACATACCCCTTTGGTGACGAACGCCATTTAGATTTTAGTGCGCCGCAACACCATTATTATTTTAATGACAACAAGTAACCACACCAAATTTATTTAAAAACAATATAATTATTTATTACAGCTGATGAAAATTTACAATTTAGTGCTCAAAATTTCTTTATAATGTACTCTATTTACAATTTTTATCTAGTTTTTTTTAATAAATAAAACGAAAGCAGACCGCATGACATTAAAATGGAACCGTCGCAACAGTTACTTATAATACAAGGTAATTAGAAAAAACTTTCACAACAGACAAAAATATTAATGAACGCACAATCCGCTACAATATTTGTATTAAATTTTATTCAACAATACTAAAAGCGCATATCTACTTTACTGTAGAAGCAACCTCACGCGACGGATTAGTTTCACTTGCCATCATTTGCTGACACTTCCAAACAAGGAAGTGAATGAAAAAATGAAATTATAATTTAAAACAGTTTAATGTCATCCAAGTCTGATCTTCGGCACATTGTTCTTCAAATAAATAGTTTTGCTAATCAAGTTGGCTGGTACTATGTTCTTGGTTTTCTTTTGTTCTCGTTGAAGCCCACTCAACGAAATCATCAATAAGGACGGGCCATGCGCCTTCTTCATCATAATTACTCATATCATCCGCAATTTGTTGAGCAAAATCTAGTAAGAGATTCCAGGTATCTTTTGGAATCGATCTCTTATGGTTCTCCTACAAGAAATTGATAAAAGTTACGTTAGTTTTACTACAATGGAGCGACTACCTGTAAAAACGTGCACCACAGATCAAGGAATTTAAATTTTCCTTTGAGTACAATGTTCCAATAGGCAATGGCCATATCAAGATCTAGTCCTTTCTGACCCGGATTTTTCGCGTAATTAAAAGTAAAGTGATAAAAGTCCTTAAATTTGTAATTATCTCGAATTTCATTTTCTAATGTCGGTAGTCTAGCTTTTAACTTATCGATATTATCACAACCTAATTCCGTCATACCGTTGATGAATTCATCTCTCGTGAATTCGCACTGAGTAGCAGCTTTAAATTTCCACGCTATTATGAGCACAAGTTTTGATTCAGGCGGAAGACCCAAATCATCCAAGAACTTCATAATCCCATCGACTGTGATTTTGTCTGGTTCATTTGGGTCCTTGTATCTGTTGTACAAAGTCTCCAGCTTCTTTTTATCGACGTTTCTGGGTTCCTTATAGTAAGCATCTGGATTCTGAAAGTAATTATCACTGGCTAAGTCTAATTTCCAATCGTTTTGGGTAAGGCAATAGATTGCTGTATTCTCGCCAGTCTGCGTGAAGGATATAAATTTTTTAACTTTTTCTCTTTGGGACGACTTGAGTTTATGCTGAAACAGAAGGCATTTTTAGAAAATTGCGTTTTCCAAGAGTTATGTTAGGTTAGCTCCATGAAAATACATTTGACAGATGGGTTTGAAATTTTCGGAAAGTGTTACTTCTGCACTTCAAGCGTTAACCGCTCACTTACCATTCTGTCAGGAATAATTTTCACTATGAATTTTTGCAAATCGAACGACAATTTAGAAATCAGCAGATCTTTGTGGCAAGTGTAAGGTTATGTCTATCAAAATAATTTTGACAGCCACATTTATCTGTTTATAAATGAACTTTTCTAGAACAATGGATTCGAATATTACTCACCATGGTAGTAAGGACCTTTATGCTACAAATTTACTACAATAACTTAATCATTTGACTGCGATTTTCATAAATGAATGCTGAGAATCATTAAGAATAACCTTAAAGTCTGCTGGTACCAGTACAAGGTTGCCACTCTTACAACTTGCAATAATAATGGTAAACTAGGCCGAAGAACCCAAAACGTGGGAAATAGCGGAGAAAGTGAAAAGAAAGTGCAAGTTGACGACTGTAGGGGAATGCAATTTTGCTTATTTTCTCTAATTTTTTATGACATGGGCATGTTGATTTTTACATAACCTCAAAAAATTTGGCTGCAAATATGCCAGTAATATGTAGAATTTTTAAAATTGCCAGAATTAAACCACCTTTAATTAGCCGAAACCTGACAGGAGTCGCTCAGGAAGCAGTGAGAGTGCGTTTCGCTCCAAGTCCTACAGGTACATAATAATAAAAGCAAACACGCTAATTAATTACTAATTTAAAGGCTTCCTACACTTGGGAGGGCTGAGAACGGCTTTTTACAATTACTTGTTTGCGAGATCCCGCAATGGTAGATTTATTTTGCGCATTGAAGACACAGATCAAACTCGGATGGTCGAGGGGGCTGTTGAACAATTACAAAACGATTTAAAGTGGTGTGGAATAAGAGTTCATGAAGGACCCGAAATTGGCGGCAGTTTTGGCCCATACATCCAGTCACAGAGGCTAGAATTTTACAGGTACAACCATCATTCAGCTGGAGCTAATTTTTAAATCAGGATTTACTATTAGGCACCATGCAAAAACTTTATTAAAGAATGGTTCCGCGTATTATTGCTTTTGTACTGAGAGACGCTTAGAATTGCTAAGAATAGAGGCTCTAAGGGCTAGAGAACTGCCAAAGTATGATAACCGGTGTAGAAACTTGAGTCCTGAGGAAGCTCGAGGGAAAGTCTCACAAGGTGTTCCATTCTGTGTACGCTTTAAAGTATGTATTGTATGTATGTAAAGAAATTTCTTAATTCATTGTCTAGATAACTCCTGGACTTGGGAGTTTTACAGATTTAATTTATGGGGACATTTCTTATGACGTTTCCGCTAATGAAGGTGACCCTGTCATCATGAAATCTGACGGATTTCCAACTTACCACTTTGCTAATGTCGTTGATGACCATTTAATGCAGATTTCGCATGTCTTGCGTGGTGTTGAGTGGCAAATTTCCACCACAAAACACCTAATGTTATATAGGTATTTTTAGTTTTTTGGGTTGGGGTTGGTAATACTCATAGCCTACTTTGTACTTTTCAGAGCTTTCAATTGGAAACCACCTCAATTCGGGCATTTGCCTCTTTTAATGAACTCAGACGGTTTAAAACTTAGTAAAAGACAAGGCGACATAAAAATTAGTCACTATAAAGAATCTGGAATATTCCCATTAGCTTTGATTAACTTTATCGCAAATTCTGGAGGTGGCTTTGAGAAGGATAGTAACAGAAATGTCAAACCGAAATGTTACACAATTCCCGAGTTAACTCAACAGGTAAGATCTGTTTTTGATGAAAAAAAAATAATAAAGTATTTTAGTTTGATATTTCTAGAGTGAATGCACATTCTGGGAAGTACATGCCAGAGAGACTTCTGGAGTTTAATAGGCTTGAGCTTAAACGAAAATTGGAAAATGAAGAAGAAGAGGATGATTTAGTGGAAAATGTGCGTGAGATGGTGAGAAATCACTTCCCGGGACATTCACTGGATTTGAAATCTGAACACATAAAGAATATTCTTCACTGGTCAGCCAACAGAATTACAAAGTTGGCAGATTTGTTATCAGATGACTTGAAATTTATTTGGATTTCACCAATAAGACAAAAACTTAGTGATGAAGATCAAAGTTACCTCACTCAGTTCATTGAAGATTTAAAGAAACAGGATGTTTTACAAAAGGATGATTTGAATCATTTTTTTAGACAGTTTTCTGAGGATCATGAACTGAAATTTGGAAATTTTATGAAGACGTTGCGGTCGGTTTTGAGTGGACTGAAGGTACTGAATTTGTTTTGAGGTTATGTTTATATAGGATATGATGTCACATGGTTAGATTGTTTTTGTTTGTTGCGCAAGCTCCTTGTGGACTACGTGTTTTATACAGTGTGTCCCACACTTCCTGACAACATTATTTTTTATATACAAAAAATTTGTTAAATTGTTTGAATGTCATGGTAGCACTGGTACACTTTCCATCAAAAAGTATTTGAAAGAACCATCATTCGACGAAATATTAGCAAAAGATTGTCATGCTTTGACGTTTGTTAAGGTCGTGTGGAATCGTACGGCGTCGTGACTCTATCGGGAATATTCGGTAGCATCAAAAAATTCTTCGTAGGTGTTTAGAGTAGCTCGAGAATCTTCGAGTGGTATCGTAAGTTTTTCGAGAGTCTTCGGCAGGTTTGTGTGGGACATACTGCAATATTACATAAATGATTTGATCAATAATTTTCTTTAAGAGGAGGTATAACAACTGGTTTGTGGAGGACGCTGGGGCTCCAAAATTTTAGAATACAGTAATGTTGTGCCCGCATACATTTAATAATGATAAAATAAAAATAATCATAATAACATGGACTTACCGAAAATAATATTCAGAACGTTTTGCTGCATTGTAGCTTAATTAATAATTTTAATCGCTTCTTCTGTTTTGAGGAGACAATTTGCTGCGTCCTTAACTGTCGCATTCTTTCGATGTATAAACATAAACAATTGAAGTTAAGCATGTGGTGTAAATATATTTTTACTTCAAAAGCGAGGGAAAATCTGTCGAAATAGAGAAAGTCTTGCAGGCGCCTAGTGGTTTTTTAATATAAAAAAATCTTTGGAGCCTCTTGTGTTTTGTTTTTAAAATACTTTTAAAAAATCTCGAGGATCCGTGAAGTTTTTATTTGGAAAGAATTTCACAAAATATTATGGGTTCCTAGCGTCTTTTTTTTTAAATATGTGATGTATTTATATAAGTTTCGTTTTTGAAGGAGAAATCAAAATGTTTGTAAAACTAAAAAATTGAAAAATCAAGAATTTTAAAAATATAAAAAAATCAAAAATTAAAATATCGAATATTTCGCAAAATTTAAAAAAATCGAGTAAGTAAAAAATTAAAAAAACAAAGTCGAAAAATCTAAAAATTCAAAAATCGAAATCTTGAGAAATCCTAAAACTTAAAACAGAGAAATCGGAAAATGAAAAATCGATTAATCGGGAAATTGAGAAATCAAAAAATTTAAATACATAAATCTCAAAACTGAAATAATCGAAAAGACAAATGAGAAATTGAGAAATCGAAATCGAAAAATTGAAAAAACGTGAAATCGGATCATCAAAAGATCGATAAGTGGAGAAGTCGAATAATCGAAAAAGTGAGATATCGAAATAGATAAAGATCGAAAAATGGAAACATTCAAAATTGAAAAATTTAAACTTAAAAAACCCGATAAATCGAAAAATGGAAAATTCAAAATATCGAAAAACTGAAAAATTAATTACGAAAAATTGAAAAATCTAAAAAAGAAAGCAAAAAATCGAAAGACAGAAATGGAAACAACAAAAAAGTGAAAAATCTAAAATTTCAAAATTGGAAAAATTGAAAATTTACAAAATCGAGAAATCACAATATCAATGAACCGAAAAATCGAAAAATGTAAGATAAACTCGCAAAATTTTGAAAAATCGAATAAGTAATAAATCAAAAAAACACAAAGTCGAAAAATCTAAAAATTTAAAAATTGAAATACATATTGAAAAATTACAAAACTTAAACATTGAAAATTTGAAAATCGAAAAATTGAGAAATTGGAAAGACGAAAAATCGAAAATTTTAAAAATTAAAAATTCCATTTTCTGAGAAATTGAGAAATCGAAAAATCCAAAAATTTAGAAACGCCAAAATTGAAAAATTGAAAAATCGAAAAATTTAAATACATACATAAATCCTAAAACTGAAACGTTGAAAATTTGGAAAATCGAAAAATCGAAAAGATGAAGTATCGAAAAATTGAGAAATCGAAATCGAAAAATTGAAAAATCGCGAAATCCAAAAAAACGTCGGAAAATTGAGAAATGGAAGGGGCTAAAAATAGAAAAATGGGAAAATTCAAAATTGAAAAATTTTAATTAAAAAGAAAAACGATAAACAAAAAGTGAAAAATCGAAACATCGAAACATTGAAAAATTAATTCCGAAAAATTGAAAAACCGGGACATCTAAAAACGAGAAGGCGAAAGATCGAAAGAAAACCGTTGACCCAAAAATTGAAAATTCGAAATATCGAAAAACTGAAAAATTAATTCCGAAAAATTGGAAAATCGAAAAGTCTAAAAACGAGAAAGCAAAAAATCGAAAGCTTGAGAAATCGAAACAACAAAAAAGTGAAAAAATTAAAATTTAAAAATTCGAAAAATTGAAAATTCAAGAAATTGGGCAATCAAAACATCAAGAGATCGAAAAATTAAAAAATCGAAAAATGTAAGATTTAAAAAGTCGCAACATTTAAAAAAATTGAATAGTAAAAAATCAAAAACACGAAACGTCGATAAATCGAAAAATTAAAAACTCCATTAATCGAGAAATTGAGAAATCGAAAAATCCAAAAATTTAGAAACGCCAAAAATTGAAAAATTGAAAAATCGAAATATTTAAATCCATAAATCCCAAAACTGAAACGTTGAAAAATTGGAAAATCTAAAAATCGAGAAGATGAATTATAGAAAAACTGAGAAATCGAAATCGAAAAATTGAAAATCGCGAAATCGAAACATCAAAAAATTGAATAATGGAAGTGGCTAAAAATAAATCGAAAAATGGGAAAATTCAAAATTGAAAAATTTAAATTAAAAAAAAAACGATAAACCAAAGAGTGAAAAATCGAAACATCGAAACACTGAAAAATTAAATCCGAAAAATTGAAAAACCGGCAAATCGAAAGAAAACCGTTAAATCACAAATTGAAAAATCGAAATATCGAAAAATTGAAAAATTAGTTCCGAAAAATTGAAAAATCGAAAATCTAAAAACGAGAAAGCAAAAAATTGAAAGCTTGAGAAATCGAAACAACAAAAAAGTGAAAAAACTAAAATTTAAAAATTTGAAAAATTTAAAATTTAAGAAATTGAGCAATCAAAACATCAAGAGCTCGAAAAATCAAAAAATTGGTCTAAAGAGTTTAGACAGTACTTCCCTCGCTGTCGGAAACGTGACGACTGCATGCCTATTATGTTTTTTTTTCGCAGTAGATTTCAAAGCATTCGGTTTTGTAGTTCCTGAGTAAACCAATAAAATAAATTTACGCATTCATTATTTTTTTTGAGTCACCCGGTATATGCAAATTCAAAAAATATGAACGGAGTGATATATCACAAGTGCAGATTCATCATATTTTGTAGATTTTAGATAGGATTTATTCGGCAAACTTTTGAGCTGACGTCATCAAGTTTTTGGAGGGGATAACCAAATATATTTTGAAAGATTTATGATGCTCTTTATAGCCTTAAAACATCTGCAACATTTCAAAACATTCGGGTTAGCAGATTCAAAATTAAATTGCAAAATGTTGTTTTATAAATGATTTTTTTTCAAAAAATCTGGACGTTTCGGGTAAAAACTCAATTCGGAGTCGTAAACTACATGTGTAGGACTATGTTATTTTATACAATTTAAAACCCATTTACTATGTACAGTTTTGAAGTGACGTCATCGCATTAGTGGTGGGGATGATTAGACAAATTTTGATTAGCGTTTTACCATCTACATGATATTCCTAATATAAGTATAAAATTTCACAATAATCGGTCGAGTACTTTCGGAGATTATCTGTCTAATAAAAATCCGGGACGGCAGACAGACGGACAGACGGACAGACAGACGGATAGACAGACGGAAATGGGAGACCTATTTCTTCGTCTTCTAGGGGTCATAAAAGATCGAGAAAACGCAAAAGTAGAGAGTTGGCCGACGGACTCGATTACAATACTTCCTTTGCTTACGCTGGGGAAGTAAAAATTAAATAATCGAAAAATGTAGGATTTAAAAAGTCGCAATATTTTGAAAAATCGAATTAAGGAAAAAATCAAAAACACAAAAAGTCGGAAAATCGAAAAATTAAAAACCCCATAAATCGAGAAATTGAGAATTCGAATAATCCAAAAATTTAGAAACGCCAAAAATTGAAAAATGGAAAAATTTAAATGCATCAATCCCAAACCTGGAACGTTGAAAAATTGGAAAATCGAAAAATTGAAAAGATGAATTATCGAAAAACTGAGAAATCGAAATCGAAAAATTGAAAAATCGCGAAATCGACACATCGAAAAATTGAGAAATGGAAGTGGCTAAAAATCGAAAAATGGGAAAATTCAAAATTGAAAAATTGTGACTTAAAAAAAAGATAAACCAAATAGTGAAAAATCGAAACATCGAAACACTGAAAAATTTATTCCGAAAAATTGAAAAACCGGAAAATTTAAAAACGAAAAGGCGAAAAGTGGAAAGAAAACCGTTAAATCAAAAATTGAAAAATCGAAATATCTAAAAATTGATAAATTAATTCCGAAAAATTGAAAAATCGAAAAATCTAAAAACGAGAAAGCAAAAAATGTAAAGCTTGAGAAATCTAAAAACAACAAAAAAGTCGAAAAATCGAAAAATTTAAAAGTCGAAGTATTTAAAAGTTTCAACACTGGAATAAAGATAAAAGAAGATAATTTTTATATATTTAATTCCGAGGATTCATCTTGTTTTATTTTCGAATTGTCAATACATATTCGTAGTTTATTCGATTTCTCACTAAGTCAGGCTGATAAAAAACACCACTTCCATTTAAAATCTACCCATGATAAATGTAAATACTGATTATTAATTTTTGTTAAAAAATAATGGTTTGTACTGATGTGGCGATTATTCGTTTAAATTCCATTAACTCACTTTTATCTTAAGAAAAGTACTTTCTGAGTTGAACATATTTTATTGTGTGATACTACAACACAGTTTCTCTCGTTCTCGATTTTATTCTACCTGAGTGTTTGGGGAATTATGGCAACCCGCAGAGAGAAGGCGGAGGAGTTTAATACTCCTCGCTGCTGGGTACCGACTATACTTTTGCGTGCCATAGTACCTATTATACATCAAACTGTAGTTTTTTTCATGTTCTAAGCTCCCAAAAGCAGTTGAATCAACAAAAACAAAAAAAATGTGACAGAAATATCTTAAAAAAAATTGTTGGTAGTTTGGTGGTAATACAATTTATTTATTTACAAAATCAAAATATACCAGAAATTAATTCAAAATAAGTCTAATGATTGTAACAGGAGGATTAGTGGAAAATTAGTGATACAGGCCTTGGCAGAGTTTTTAACCAAAACGAACAATTATTATTGAAAAAAATAGCTTTGAATTCATAATTAACAATTTTCATGATTAACAATATTTTATTTTTCCATTTGAAAAATATTAATAGCAACCTTTGCATTTTTTGTTGATTTTTGTTGTACCGACCTGTGCGTTCCAGCATTCTTTCATAGTTGGTAAGGTCACAAGATTTTTTGGATAGGCAAATTGGTGGCAAATTTAAGTTCCAAGTTTTGTTGAATGCTATTGTGTCGACTATTATATTAGAAACTGGTAGATTTGGAGTTATATAATTATTAATATTTCTAGTCCATGGTAAATTCAGAATGTACATACTATTTTAGCATTACTACAAATTCATTGAAATATTTTTAATGTATATTTTGCGTTGTTAGTAATAAAACTGCATAGCCATTGTTGATGTTAAGGGTAAATACTGAATAAGAACTAATAAATCCAACGGTAGCAGTTTAAATATTGTTATAAAATTTTGAGTTTTTTCTTAAAACTCGGGACATTCCTACAGTAGAAATAACTGAACGAAAACTGCTTTTTTCAGGAGGGACCAAGCGTGGCCGAAATGGTGGAGATCTTGGGGAAGAAGAACACAATACATCGCCTCCAACTCTCAATTAAAACCAACAAGTGAGATAAATATATTTAATATCTTTCCTCAATACAATTACAATAAAAAAAGTTCAAAAAATCAATACCAGATCAATTTAGCACAGTTTTACCAGTTCCCCAGGTTTCTAAACTTAAAGATACACACATTCATAAACCTAACTTAAGTAAGAGAGAGATAGAGAGAGATTGAGGTTCATACAAAATTATAAAAAATGAAAGAGTCGTATTGCTGGCCATTTTATTACAAGTGACTGCAACATTATATCACAGAAGTTCAATAGCAGTCTTAGGTAAAATCATAAGGACAGACCTCGAGAGCGTTACTAAGTTAATTTCGCCCATGTTGCAATAAGGTTCTCGAAGTCTGTCGAAATAATACGAAATCGGTGAACACAAAGCAAGTAATCACAGGACTAAAAGTAAATTGATCGGCTTTGTGGTGGTGATTGCGCTGCTTAAAGCAAACAAATGGCAGCGCAGCCGCCACCAGCGTAAACGGTTCAATGGGAAATATGCAAAAGGGAAAATTTGGTCCACTTGAAGTGTTAGTTATGCGCTGCCTTTTAATCATGATTGTACGAAGTAGGGTGAAAGAGAATCCAACAACTCAAGGAATGTTAATTAGTAATAGCCGAAATTTCTTAAACCTAACCATTATTATTTGTACATACCGGAATGATAAGGCTACAACATATTTTGTGCTAAAAGACGTTTACGGAAAATTTCAAATGCTCTTGGCAGTTATGGAGAACGCCATGTTCGGGCGTCTGTCTGTGTAATCAACGCGAGGATCACCAATTGGCCAGTGCACGCCACTATTCTATTAGGTTTTCGAGTAAAGGTAGGTCCTTTGGAATATAACGGAACGACCCGCCTTTGATATGATCTTGTGCGAAAAAAATTACAACTCTATAACAACAAGTTGTTCCACAATCAGAGTGTGGATTTAGAAACAAGTTTTCTACTACAAAGCTATAGACACAATGATCACAATAGCTAACATGCAAAAGGCATTAAGTAATGATTGTAATGATTATCTTAGTTACTTCTATTAATTTTTTTTTCTAAGAATTTTTAACGAAAAATCTCAAGTTAACACAGAGTAGCTTAGATTCTAAAGTACTAAACTATTCTATACCTTTATAAATACTTCAACATCCAAAAAAGCTTAAAAATATAGGTAACACAAATTATGGAGACTATATGTTTGTCTTACTTAATTCAATCTACACATGTAAAGATACATAAGTATGTGTCTGACTGTATGATGATGTTATTGTGATTCCAAAATTGCCGTTTGATTGGTCATTAATCAAAGTACCAATTGTCAACGTGAACAAAAAGCAGGAAACCGAAAGTAGCGTTTGATATAAAGATGAAGTGAAGTGAAAGCAACGCACTTATAGGTAGAAAGAGTAAGATATAGTTGAGATATATTGCTAGGGAAAGATAATTGCTTTTAGTTTAGAATATAAGTTATGTAATAAAATTTTGTTTTTCTAAAAGACAATTTGACAGTTTAACAATTTTTCTTAACGAGTTTTATAAGCGTACAATTTTAGGTAAAGTTAATTATTTTTTCTTTTATATTTAAATAGATGAATTTCGATTTGATGAACGAACGTACAGTATCATTTTCACACTTAACTATATTTTATACTACCTACAATAATTATATTATTTGGAAATCACAGCGAATTTTCATATCAACTAATATCATTAATATTAATACATCTACACGGGGAATACCATTTTCTTAACGCCGAAAAGAATAACGCATTGACCAACAGTAAAAGAAATATTTATTACAGACTTATTGATAAATTTCAAACTCCCCAAAGATAAAACCGCATTTTGTATAAATACTTTGATTAGACGTCGGTCAATGCATTTTTTTAAATAAATTATCTTAATTTATAAACCTTGAGTCAAATCCTTAATTGCTTGCAGTATTCTTTTTACATGTCCTACTTTAGTAACACCTAAGTCTTTCAGATCCCTCCTAGCGAGTGTGAGAAGTTCCCGCCCTCTGATATCGTTCTTAACAAAGCTGTCGATATATTCTGATAACTGTAGTGTTTCTAGCCATGTTGCTACCTCTTGAGTACCCCAGGAGTTCACTTCCCGTCCAGATTTCTTGTTAGCTTGCTGCTGGACCGAGCTTGCTCCCTTAGCTCGGAATTTCAGCCAGAATAGGCCTTTACGTTTGTGTTCAGACTGCAAAGACAAATTATGTTTATATAAAGCGTCGAAACGTGGGCTAAATATTTCGTAAGTTGATGTTTTTAGTACAATTATGAAGTCAAATACTGAAAATGTGTCGTCAATTTTACGCAATAATAACTGATAATGATGAGATTTCAGCGGTAAGGTGTCAAAGGTAAACATACTTTGGATGAAAATACAAGAATTATTAAAAATAGATGTTTAAAATTTTATGTGTTGGCAACATAACGCATTCCTTGTTCAGTTTGACAGTTATGGTCAAATAAATATCAAATAAATGTCGAATATTTCTAATGCCAACATCATTATTTTAAAAATAAATTCCACGGCCTACTAGACGAGTTTTTTCGGTGTACTTATTCGAATTTTTTTGTAATGAAGAAACCTGTGGTATTAAGGTTACTAAATTGACGGGAATGGCAAAGTTAGATACAGTAATGAGAGAGAGAGGAACTTGATTAAGATGTTAGAGTAAGAATGAGAAAGTCATTTTTATATTAGCACTCGACTGTTAGTGGTACATGCGATGAAATAGGTAAGAGGTACCATCATGACGACACAAAACATTTGTTGTCAAAAAAGTTACCAAATATCCTCTGTAAAGTAAAGGATAGAGATATATTCCCATGTTGTGTGCCATTCCCTCCTCTATCCTGTTCTCTATTTGCTTGCTACAGATATAGATATTTTAGTTATACATTTTTATTGTTATTTAATCGAAGAATAAAGTATATAGGATGGTAATTTTTTCATTGCTCGCTATTATCATCTGTTAACTGTGAGAACTACAAAGTTGGTTAAACTACATGAGAAAGATTTAGCCCATTGTTTAATTATGGTCTTGTGTTTCCGTCTATGTATAAATTACCACGACAAGGGTTCAGTTTTATTTTTGTTTTTCTTAAGTTATTATTTTTAATCAGTTTCGATTTGTGGAGACGAAAAGTTATTTTATTTTTGAAGCTGTATTTCAAATTTATCCTAAAGATGCGTTACGATATATTTAAGAAATTGGGCTCTGGAGGCACAATAGGTATAATGACGTGGCGCTGGATAGTATAGTAGTCAGTATTTTCCGAAAAGGAGACAATTTCGTAAGATTTTTAAATACATTTAATAATTCTTAAAATAAATTTAGTAGACCTGGAGATTAATTACTTGTTTCAGTTTCTTAGAATTAGAGACTGGAATATCATGATATCAAATATCAAGTTATATTTTTTTCGAAATATTTGTTAATCTATGAAGATAAAAAACTATACATATAACATTTTCTCTTAACTTTGTATTCCTTTTTGTTTTTAAGATTACAATAGTGAGCAATGAAAAAGTCAGCTTTGGCAACAGAAACGAAATTTTGCACTAAAAGGAGAAAAATATTCGAAGAAATAGGCAAAGTAATGTCATAGATAACGATAGAATAAGTAGCAAGAATACTGTCAAATAACCTGTGAGAGGGCCAATCATTGTACGTTTTACCCTACTAGAGTATGATGCTTACCTGATCCCCTTGCACTGGCTGCAGATAAACCAGACTTCCCTCTGGCCTGTCGTACATCACACATTTCCTTAATTCTAGTTCCGTATTAGCTAAACTGGCACTTAGTTTATTTTCTAGGTCCTCTCGTAATTTTAATTTATCCCCTCTATCATGTAACAAACAACAACTATCTTCGTACAGTTGTTTGACAGCAGTAACCAATTTTGTAAATTCAACCCGTAATGTAGGTCCCTCTAATATTTTTCCATTTGGATGTATATTTTCAAGGCAAGTATCGCATTTGGTCGCTAATGTATACAGATCTGCCTCTAAAGAGTGGCTGATTGCTAATATTTTGATCCATTTCGTTAAAGTAGTAGCACATTCGATGAAATTGAGTAAAAGGTAGTGTTCCTCGTCCGTGAACAAAATGTCGGGTTCGACCGGCGCAGGCGGTTTTTCCACAAAAGTCACGGTTTGTTGCTTTTCGTGGTGCACGGGGACGGCACCACTGAACGAGTGCTGTCGGATTTTCTCGAAATTGACTCCCAAGAAGGACTTCTCGTGGCTCGGCATGCTCTGACGGGTGAGGCTTTGCCGGCCTTTGTCGTGCGAAATGGAGTGTCTAGGTTTGGTTTGAGCAGCGATGCTCTGTCGTTGCTTCTCTTCCCAGGATTTGAGGGAGTTCTCCAGGGCTCGGTTGCGGCAAAGCATCTGCATGCGGTTCTTGTGCAGGATTCGGATGATTCCGGGTGGCTGAATCCAGGCTTCGCCGTCCACCTGGATCGGCACACCTTCTTCCCCCAGGATGTTTATTTGGATGCTTTGGCATTGCGCTATTCGGTGATGTTGTAAGTTGATGAGGCGAGACGCTGCCATTTGCACGGAGCCAAATACGGCTACCACTTCGAGGATTTTGTCATCGAATGACGGCGGGATGAAGATGTGGTCTTCTTTGGTACCTCCCCAGAAGTTTATTCCTCCCATAAAGCTGTTACAAGATTAGGTTTGTTATTATTGTTGTGTAAGTTGGTCAACAGATTTTACCCAATTACGGGCCAACAGTTACAAGTTAATTGAATTATTTATGAATTATTACTGATTGCCCTAGTTAAGATAACTTCCTTAATTATATTCCTAATGGGTAGGGAAAATGTGATTTTAGAATTATTCCGAGATCTCTAAAGAAATTCACTCTTGGTATGATGCTATTCGGGTTAATAATGTAATTTAAATTTAACCTGGAATTTTTGCTTTTCAGAGACATAACATTGCGATTATCAAAGACTCAATATGTTCTGTTTGAACTACTGTCTATTGTAATTAATCTTGCGTTGGAAACTTATACACGGGATGCCGCATCCAAGTTTGGACATAGAGAATTGGTTTTTATTTTATAATATCTCCCTAGATTACTTTAAAGCTATTATTGAGTGATCCATTTGTGGAGGTAAAGGCTATCGGCCCATTTATTGTGGAAAGGTTTTAAAAATCAAATTTTGATTCTCTTCTGAATTGCGTTGCTACAACGGGCTTGGATATCCTGAACCGTGGAAACGTATCTACTTTCGTCACTAAAGTGATGGAAGAGGTTATCGCCATCACCCTGAGCTCAATAGGGTTATCTTATGAAATCAAAGACTGACATGTATCGACAGGGTTGGGTCCAAACACCGAAGAGTCGCAACGGGAGTATAAAGATCCGAGAGCGATAAACTGGGATTTTTATAACCAGACTCTCGCGAAAAGGATCTTAGGATTGCCAAATAGAGTTCGACATGTAAAAGGAGCGGCAGAAAATGCCGCCTTGATACATGAGGCTATTATCAAGTCTTACAAGGAGTGTTGTCCAACATTCCAGTTGGAATAGGACCCGACTTGACAACTCACTCAAGTCTTAGGAGCTCTATAAGATAGTTCAACAAAAAGATTACAAATTCGACGCAGGACAACAGATAGACGTAAGGATTTTTGTGGGAAGATAGACAATCTTGTACAAGCAGCAAGACTTCAGAAGGTCCTCATTTTAAACTGACGATGTTGTGTTCGCCCTCGGGAGATTCCAAAGAAGACACTTTGAGGTTCCTGTCAAGTACGTACTTCCCGAACTCAAGAAACTGCAACGAGGAGGTGCAGGAAGCACTAACTCATACCGTTTCTCGGAAGACATGGCTATTTGCGTCTAAAGTCATCGAAGTTGAAACGGGCAATTAATACTTTTGTTACATTTAAATCAGCAGACATGGATGGGATTTCTCTAAATCTCTTTGAAAACAAATTGGACTTTGTTACTAAACTGCTGTTGGGTCTTTTCAAAGCTTGCCTCGCTCTGGGCTGCATACTTAGTGAAAGAGTTTTAAACCCATCTGTCAGACATTGTTCCTTTGAATCTAGGTGTTCATCTTTGATCAAGCGCGGCGGGGATCCGACACTTGCCAGATGCTTCACCCAAAGATAAATCATACAGTGATGGGACTTTGCGCGTCGACTTTAATTGTCTACGTTACGTCGTAGAGAATAGGTAAACAACGTAAAGAATGTAAACAATGTAAACTTTCCGTAAACAATACCAACAACAAACGTAAGGTTACGTTTTTAGAGTCAGAAACTCACAAAAAATAAACAGTTTAACGCCGTCAGAAATGGCAGGAAGAAAAAGAAATCCGATGTTTAATAACTTAGGTTTCGAGTTAATCAAAGTGAAAGGGAAGTACACCGCCAAATGTCTCATTTGTGAAAAATCATTGGCAAATACAGCCGCGGAGAGGTTAAAATCACGTAGGTATAAATCATTTATTAGTCATAATATATTGATTTAAATTTTACACTAAATTGACGATGACTTCGTCGAAATGGTCAAGGAAAACATCAAGATATTTGATCCAGTTTGCCACCTGATTAATAGTTGCCACGAGTCTGTATTTTCGATTGCTGATGCAGCGAATCTTTAGTTAGATTTGCAGCTTCCTGACAAATTTGAAAAAGAACTTGCTCGAAGAAAATCAATGGCGCTAAATACATACGCATTAGTGTCTTATTATTTACATCCCTTTCTAAATAACGAGAAACTTCAAAAAACTCATACATCTGTTATTAACAAGTTTCTAATTCAAAATCTGAGCGGTAGTGGATTAGAAGAATTAGACGCTTTTATTGAAAAACGAGAAATTTTGTAAATTTTATTTGAAAAGGAACTTAAAAGTCCACTTACGTTTTGGAAATTATCTTCGTCTGAATTCCCAGAGATTTCAAATTTGGCACTCAAACTTCTAATGATACCTGCTTCATCCGCTCAAATTGAGCGAGTTTTTTCAACATGGAGATTAATTCATACACCAATTAGAAAGAGGCTAACATTTGAGAGATCAAAAAAACTCATGCACGTTTATTATGCATTAAAGATACAAGAAAAGAAACAAGCAGATGACAGCGAATTTAACGAGTTATTATTTGAAGATGAATAATCGAGTACAGTTATTATTAATTACTACCATTCGTTCTTTAAACTCTTTAACATTTGACTTTTATCAAGTTTTTGTGTATTAAATTTTCATTTTTTTGTATATTTTTTTACAAATATAAATTTTGTATTTGTCAGTTTATAAAAATACATTAAAATTTTATTGACCTTTATTTAACCCTTATTATTTACATTGTCTACATACTAACATAGTTTACATGAACTCACTTAAAGTTTACTTTACATAGTTTACACGTAAACTATTCGATTGTTTACACTGACGGAATCTACGTGCCCATCACTGTAAATCAATACGATTCTAGGTTCGCAATGGACTAAAGTAATTGCTACGCAAAGTTGTCCGCAGTTTTTGCGGAACCTGGTAGCAGATAACTTGATTTGCTAGAATGAAGCTGGAGTATATGGTCAAGGATATGCTGATGATATAGTAATCCTTGTGAGAAGCAAATTTGTCAACGTTCGCCCTGTTAATCCAGACAAAACATTTTTGTATTTTTGTAAGGAGGCGTTAGGACGAGTATGTGGTCTCTACACTCTTTGGAGAAACACTGCGGGCACACAGGGAAGCCAAGTATCATTTGTCTGGACTGTAGAAAATGAAGGACCCACGGAACAAATCACTGCAGGGTGTAACACCCAAACTAATGCATTGGTGTCCAGTGTCACAAGGCCAATCATCCTCTACGGTGCCTTTATTTGGTGGGGCTCGACGATGAAAGTCTTTTGTCCCTAACACAATGTCTGGCTTGCCTGATGTTAACAGTGAGAACCGTACCATCAGCTGCCATGGAAATGCTGATCGCGCTGTATCCTTTTTGAATTAGTGGTAATGGATACGGCTATGTCGAGATTCCTGCGAATGCGCCGCTCTGGTCAGTGGAAAAAATCGACAACAAAAACGGGCCATGGGACCACTACTGGAAGGCCCCAGGATGGAGAATGAAAGCAAAATTCCCATTGTAGTAACATATCACTTACAGGAAGTGCTGATACCTTCATGAGAACAGTGGAAGGAACATACCGAAGTCATTATCCAATCGTTGTAGGCGTGCTCTGGAGGGTTGACCATCGTCGGAACGTTGTTTTCGGTGATATGGCATGTGGGCCGAGTTCAACCGGAGAGTATAATGCGGGAGTTAGGATATTTTTAAAGAAGAGGTTTTATCTCTACCTTTGGGTAAGTACCAAATTAGAAGCCTAGGGAATTATAGGTCTGGTTGCTAACCTGACAGAAGGGATGACGTAGGGTGGCGTACTCAAGCAGTTCTTTTCCACCTGAGATCGATATTGAAGATGGCTGTGTGTGTGTGTGGAGGCTGCCCGGGTGTGAAAATAGCTCAGGGGATATCCGAATCAACCGGGTAACGACATGTCAGATTTAATTGGGTCCCACCTAGCGTAGGAATTTGTTACTGCGGGTGTGCGTAGAGCTAACATAACAACATGAGGTAGGCCGCCATCTTGTGCACGGTCAAGCTACCATTCGGCCTAGCAGACTATTCGCCCAACCGAGTGTAACTCTGTCGTATCTCTTCGTAGGCCATCGGGCGCAACACGACCTGTCCCGTTGGCAATGCTGATAGACCTGGGGGAAACGATTGCGAGTCTCAACTTTCGGTACAGAGGGCGACTGGGTGAGTCTGTTCCATCTGGGGTCCATGTCCGATACCCCCCGGCATCTGGAGCGTCGCGGAAGATCGATCAGGACGGAAATTGTGATCGGCGTCATCTGCTTACGACAAACTGTCCGGATGTAATCATTTAGATTGTTATTAATATGTACTATTGTAGACATATACGTCGGGGTAGCAACATTTAGTTGCGCTTCCGGGAAAACGTCTTAAGCGGAAACTCTCGGTCTTCGATTGTGCGGTTCAGACGACCATTTTCCTCTTGGCGCGGGACCTAGGGTGCAGCTAAGGGAACGTTAGATATATAGAGTCGAGGACACACGAGCAAAGGTTCGCTAGACCACGTAAATAGACTGCGTTAGTACCATCCAGTTGAGTTGTCTGTTGTAAGTTCTCTTGCTATCACCTCCCGGGAAGATCTTGAAAACTGAGCTAGTAGGGTAGATCTGGGTAACAAGGTGAGGCGAACACCCGGAGCGTGATAACCTTGGTACTATGCGGACGGTTGGATTTCCAGTAAGGGATCAGGCTCGGGCGTATATTCAAACGAGCCAAATCTCAATGTCTCGATATCACTGGTTAAGCATACCAGTGTCTTTCAAGCAAAAAGGTCCTCTTTGGAAGACGAATCTACATTTTCACAAACTGATTGGCTTCACTGGGGATTTTGCAATCTAACAGACACACATCGATGCTTGTTTGGAAATATTACAATCAAATACAGGATTTAGCAGAGTACAACAAGAAACATGTTCCTAGCTGGATATCTGGACACATGGGCCACAAAGGAAATGAAAGAACTCTCACAGCTCTGGCAAGGTAGGACTCTGAGAGGGACCGCCTCTGCCAGATCCTAAAATGGCCAAAAGAAAATGTTCAAAGAGTATTCGAAGTTATGTCATTTTAAGAATGCCGGACCTTGAACCTGCTTCACTCAGGGTTGTTCAGGGAAGACCTTAATGGAAAACGCAGTGAAGAGCTACTGAGAAAAGATCTCAGATTTGTGGTGAGTCTGATCACTGGACACAGACCTTTAAAGAAACACATTTGCACCATCGGTCTGGCTTCCAATAGCACAAGCAGAATGTGCTTAGTAGATGATGAGATCCTCCGGAGCACTTTCTGTGGTCCTGTCCGGTACTTGCTGGCATCAGGAAAAAACACATGGACTTTTAAATTGTGGAACCATGTAATGTTTGAGATGTACATAGAAGTTGTTTCCTGGGCTTTACTAGCAACTATAGGGATAGCACACAATGGACCACAGAAGGCCCCCGTGTGTAGCTCAATTTATGATAGGTTCGTTCACATTGCTAATAGAAAATTTAAAAAATCTGGATGTCTAAGGTGTAAAATAGAAGCGGACTCATAAACCATAAGCTTAGAAGTATATTATTTTTATGAAATTTATAAAACATTTACTACGCAAAATTTTGAGGTGACGTCATTAAATTGCTAGTGTTGACGACTAGACAAATTCGGGTTAGCTTATTGCCATCTTCATAATATATTCCTAAAGTAAACGTAAAATTTTACAATAATTAGTTCAATAATTTTGGAAAAAAAAATCTGTCTAATAAAAGGAGTATCGAGAAAACACGAAAGTAGCCGTTCGTCGGATGGAACTGAATAACAATGTGAAAATTCGCCATTACCCAGTTTCGGCCACTGGAACGATTTTGGTTACATTTAAAGGATAAAATATATGAGGAAATCTGGCCAGCTTCGACATTTGGGCAATTCAAATAGTAATTAAATAAGAAAATTTAGACTTTTGATGAAGAATAAGTCAAACGACTACTATATATAGAACCACTGTAGGATTAATGAGGGCACTGTTCATAAAATATTGAGTGTTCTTACCATGTGGTTATTGCTACGTTTTCGTTTTTTGTTTGATTAATAAATACAATAATCCCGATTTTAAGTTCGCATACCTTATATCTGTATTACGAAATTTTGTCAAGATATTTGAATATGTTCTTTATGGCTGTATTTTTAATAATACTACGATCATATTTAACTAAGCTAACTGAAATTAGCTACGTATTTATGATGGTTTTAGTTCTTTCGAATTTAATACAATGTTTGGTGTTCTTCAAGGACCCAACCTGGGACTTCTGTCATTAAAATTTGTAATAACCGTATTTTTTACCATATTATTCCATCTTCGCGCATATGCTGATGACGTTAAAGTATATTCTCAACTTCGTTAAGATTTAGGCATTGAATGCCTTCAGTCTAATTTGAACAAAATCAAAGTATAAAGAAATTTAAGAGTAAAAAACTACACTCGAAAACGTAATATGGTTCATTCTAATTATTCTAGTATTGATCATTCCTTAGAACGTAAAAGGTCAATGTAGATATAAAAATCAGGGGACCCAAAACAGAGCTCTGCGGAACTCCTGACGGTACCACAATTTTATCGGGCTGATATTAAACGTCCTTCACGTACTGATACCTGTGACTTAAATAAGATTATACTATAGATTAGGTAAGATACTATCTATTGGATACGAATTGGGTAAAACAACACAAACTGGTTAGAGTATGTTGGGACTCTGTTAACCGATTAATCACCTTGGTATATTGAGAATAACGATTCCCTGAAGGCTGGGTAAGGGTATCCTTTGGCCGTCGCACTCCAGCTGGACCCTCTGTTCCAGATTTTTGTATGTCTTCTGAAGCCACTGTTTGCTCCCTAGTACCCCGTACCACATGTAGTTCTTGGCACGCGACCGACATTTCTCGGGATGTTCCTCGCGCTTATGGTGGAAGTCCAGGGAGATCTTGGCGTCAATTCCGATACCGAAATAGTTATTCATGACGCACCGCTCGTAGAAGCCTTCTAACAACGTTTCGTCTGGATCAATTAGAGGACTAACCGCTGCGCAAAGGGTGTCAGCATTAGCTAGAAGACATTTGCTAATGAAACCACTTCCCGTGCTCACATCTAAAATGCGATACACACCGATAAGACATTCAGAAATACTTCTACTTGGCGTTGCTGGGATATTAAAAAAAAATCGCAAAAATCAGAGGGAGGACAATGCTTTGTCGATGGCATCCTAAAAAAATAACCAAGACAAGGCTCAAGGGTTATTTCATTCCCCAAACATTTCAAGAAACTAAAAGGGTTTAAGGGGAATTCGTCTTATCTAACCTAGATGACTACAAGCGAAACTTACTTGGCCACGTCGGTAGCGTCACCAGTGGGTTAATGATGGGTAACTTGCGACTGTCCTTTTCACGGGCGTCCTTTTTCTCCTTTTCTTTCTTTTCGGCGGCTTCCGTATAAAAGTTGGTGGCGGCAGCAGCGGCGGCCAAAGCTGCTGCCTCCGCGGGGTTCAGCATGCTGCAGCAGGAAATCCTGCGAGTCGCAGCAGGTGATCTAGTGAGAAAATGCTCATTGTCGATGCCCAGCAAGTTAGAGCTGGAACTGTTATTGCTAGTCGTGATATCACTAGTTGACAGTTTTTCGGCCTTTGAACACAGATTGCGGAGATCGAAGTCAGAACCGGAATCTATCTCTATTTCCACACCTAATTTCACCATTCGCTCGACTCGTATGTCTTCGGTTAGTACGGGGGAAGGGGGTTCGACGATGACGCTAACCTGCGGGAATATGCACTAAAAATATACACAGATTTGTAAAGCGTCCGAAAATTTCAGGAATAGATTACCGTTTCGGGTTTCGGTTTGTCGATATCCGTGTCAGTGGGACTTTCTTCTTCTTGTTTTCGTTCATCAGGTAGTAGGTCCAGGGCTTTCAAAGTAGATGTGGAAACGTTGGAAAGTTCCTTTTCGAGTTTGTTTAAGTTGCTACAGGATCCTATCGGGGTGATTTCGTTTTCTTCCAAAAGGGTGCTCTGCCTGTTAACGTTAGCTTCGGTTTTCGAGATTTTCGTTGTGGTCCGGGGTCTCTTGAACGATTTTCTAGCTATATCATTACCTTCTACGAAGTGAGCTAAACTGCAATATCTTGTTGGTTCAGTTTCTAATTTGTTATCTAAGTATACGTGTTGTGACATAAAGGCACGATTTTCAAATCCAAATTGAGTATCTTCGTCCACTTTGCTTCTGGAGCTCCTCCGCTTCTTCTCCAGGGATTCTCTTTTGGCACTCATCCGTCTTTCCAGCTTGATCTCCGCCATCTCGCTGGTGAAGAGCGTCGTGTCGTCGGTGTACGTGTTTTCTATGCTGTCTTGATCATAACCATACATAACTTCACCTAACATGGAACTGAGATCGTCCATGAGAGACTCACCATGCAGGGCGTCAGAATTCGGATACGTATCCGTTTCGGGTGAATCTATGTGATAGATGTGGCCGTTTAAGTCTTCCCCGTCGCTATTCTTTCGAGGGCAAAATGATTTTTGGTCCAGGATTTCCGACGTGATGCTCACTTCTTCGTTGGAAATTGCCGAGAGTATGCTGCTGCACTCCTTTTCCTCCTCTTCGTATTTTGTGCTTTCTCGTCGTTCCTCGCACTTTGTACTGTCTCGTCGTTCTTCGCACTTTGTACTCTCTCGTCGTTCTTCGCACTTTGTACTCTCTCGTCGTTGTCGTTCCTGATGGATTTCCACTTCGTGTTCGTTGGTTTTGAGGCTGCCTATTGACATTAGGGTTGAGCAAGTGTCGCGTAAGATCTTTTCCGTAGCAGCGTCCGCCTCAGCACTGGAAATGATCAATAGTCAATTGGTTGCAGACTTTGGGGAAACAACTGATGTTACTCATCACCCAGGTTATTTTAAGTGAACCTAAATTGACAGGCCACTAAGTGAGGGTAAAAAGACACCTAGTCTTTATTGTGTCGATCGCAATGTGTCCAAGTCCAAGCCTAAGACATTATGCTGTTCTAACAGAAAAATCATATTGACAATGAAACCTCGTGGTTGGAAATAACGAGAGGTTTACTCTTCTACTTTCAATTATAGAATTCAATTCGGAAAACACAGAAGAAAGGGTAAACAAAATTCCTCACGGCTGCGGCTGCTGGAAAGATGACAAATGAGACAATAAAGAGATAATGGGTTTGGTAGTACAATGTTGAAAAAATTCTGATATGGTGCAGAGAAAAGAAAGAGGAACAATAAAATTGTAAGAAGTGTGTTAGAGTAGAATTTACAGAAGAAAAATTTAGTCTAAAATTATTTTTACAGAGGCTCTGTCGTTACAAAATTTAATTTTATGAATTTAATTTTTTTGTGACGACCCTTATAAGTTAAGGACCTGTGTGGATTGTTGTACTACAGGTAAAGATGCGATAAAAAAGCAATAAAAAATGGCGGCCGAGGTAAAAAGCAACAAGTCCACAAAAAAAAAACGAAAAAAATGGGAAGAAGAGGAAAACTCCAAAAACCTGTAAAAATCGGTAAAGAAAGCGACAAAGAAAGTGACAAAAAAATTGATTAAAAAAATATGATAAAAACAAACTCAAAAAATGCGAAAAGAGAGTCAGGAGAACAAAGGAAGGCCATGAAAAGTGGCAAAACTGCAACTAAGAAAAACTATAGAAAAATCCGATAAAAACGAAGTCAATAAAAAAAGTCAACAAAAAAGAAAACGATAACAAATGGGTAACAAAAGGTGATAAAAACAGTGACTATATGTATAGAAAAGACACAAAATGGCATAAAAAATGTCCCAAAAAAATAAAAAAGATGACAAAATAGAGAAAAAAGTTGATAAGGCGACGAATAAACTAATAAAAACGTGACAAAACAAAGAAGTGAAAAAATAGATAAACAAAGTCCACAGCAAGAACGTTAAAAAAATAAGATAAAAGAGGGAGTAAAAGAAGATAAAAAAGCGAAGAAAAGAAAGTGACAAAGAAAAGTAACAAAAAAGGAACAAAAAAGGAGTCGAATAAATAAAGACAGGTACAAAAGTTAGCAAAAAAAGTAGCTAAGAAATACTACAAAAAATAAGACAAAAACTGTCAATAAAAAGTCAACAAAAATAACGATAAAGGAAAGAGCAAATAAGGTGATAAAAACGTGACCAAAAAAAGAAAATCACAAAAAAAGGATCAAAACTTTACGAAGAAAAGTAATAAAAGTTGACAAAAAAAAGGCAAAGGGTGATTTAATAAAGTGACTAAGAAATAATGCCACAAAAAGGCGATAAAAAAGGCGAGGAAAGGCATCAAAAATGTGCCACAAAAAATGTGATAAAAAAGGCGACAAAGACAAGCAATAAATTAAGTGAAAAATCAATCCAAAAAAGCAAAAAAAAAAACGAAAGAAGACAAAAAAAACGACGAAAAAGGAAGAAAAAAACTAAAAATAGCGGCAAAGAAAGCAACCAAAAAGGAGATAAAAAAGCGCCAAAAAGACACTATAAAATCGCCAAATGAACACCAAAAGAGTCTAGAAAAAATGAAAAAATGTGACAAAAAAAGAAAAAAACGGCAACAAGAACGTAAAAAAGATAAACAAAGGAATAAAAACGTCAACGAAGCGAAAGAAAGAAGCTGACAAACAAAACAAAATAGGAAACAAAAAAAAAGCGAAAATGGATAATGAAATGTGGCGAAAAAGCAACTAAGAAAAACGACTAAAGAAGTCATTTAAAAAAGCAACAAAAAAGCGGCAAATAAAAACAAATAAAAAAAGGCTACAAAGGAAAAGGAAAAAAAAAGGTGACGAAATAAAAAACCACAAAATAGGCGATGAAAAAGGCATCAAAAATGTTCCTAAATGGCGGCGAAAAAATAATGTGAAAAGAGAAAAAAAGCTATAAAGGTGATGAAAAACGGCGAAAACAAAAACAATAAAAAAGTAATAAAAAGAAGGAAGTGAGAAAATGTAGAAACAAAAGCCACAAAAAGTGTCAAAAAACAACCAAGAAAAACGACAAAATAAGAAACGACACAAAAAACCCTAGAAAGAGGAAACTAAAATCTGACCAGAAAAGATCAGGACAAAATGGAACAAAGAAAGTCGTCAAAAAAGGCGAAAAAAGAATAAAAAAAAAACACAAAAAAAGGTGTAAAAAAGGCAACACAAAACTGATTAAAAAATCCACAAGAGTGGTGACAAATAAGGAATATAAAAAACTAGAAAAAAGCGGCAAAGAAAGCAACAAAAAAAAAATTATTAAAAAGGCGGTGGCAAAAAAGGCGAAAAAAATCGGCAAAAAGGCATCAAAAAAGGGGCCACGGAAATTGTGAAAAATATGTAACAAAAAAACACCCTCACGAACGTCAAAGAAGTGACAAAAGAAAAACCAACAACAAAAATTATAAAAAAGGCGACCAAAAAACCGATGTAAAAACCGATTAAAAAAGAAGCCATAAAAAAGACAATGAAAAAGTCAGAAAAGGGCGACAAAGAAGGCATTCAAAAATGCTAAAGAAAACCGACAAAGCAAGCGACAAAAAAAATTTAAAAAGGTGAAAAACAAAAGCAATAAATAAAGCGACAAAAAAGGAAGTAAAAAATGAACACAGAAAGATCACAAAAAAATGGCAAAAAAGACAATCAAGGAAGCAGACAAAAAAGATGAGGAAAAATTCGATAAAAATCGATACAAAAAGATCAAAAAAGGAGACAAAAAAGATGACAAAGAGAGAAATAAATGCCGACAAGGGAAGACCAAAACGAAAGAGTAAAAAAGGCGGAAAAAAGAACGAAAGAAAATAAAAAAAGGCGAAAAAAGGAACCAATAAGTGATTAAAAAATCCATAAAAATGACGACGAAACAGGAAGAAAAAACTATAAAAATTGGCAAAGAAAGCAACCAAAAAGGAGATAAAAAAAAGATTATAAAATCGACAAAAGAACAAATATGTGATAAAAAAAACCCCAAAAAATACGAAAAAAAAATGCCATCACAAACGTCAACAAAGTGACAAAAAGCCAACAACAAAAATGATAAACAAAGGCGATAAAAAACCGGTATAAAAACCGATTAAAAAAGAAGCGATAAAAAACACAATGAAAAAAACAGAAAAAAGGCTCCAAACTAGGGATTTATAACCCGCAGAAAACCGACAAAGAAAGCGACCGAAAAAAAAACTTAAAAAATGTTAAAAAAGTGTCAAAAACGACCAAAAAATAATATAAGACGCGAAAAAAAGTGACAAACCCAATAAAAAAAAAACAAAATGAGGATGTCAAAAAAAATGTACAAAGAAAGGCCAGAAAAGCAGGCAAGGAAACTAACAAAGAAAAACGCAAAAAGGGTGACAAAAAATACCTCAAAAAAAGCCGTGACAACAAAAGTCAAAAAACGACCAAAAAGGTGTTTAATAAATAAATGGTCAAAAAACGCGACTAAAAGGTGACAAATGAAAAAAAAAGTCTAAAAAAGGGGATTAAATAGTCCACAAAAAAGCGACAAAAAACCACCAACAAAAGCGATGAAAAACGACAAAAAATATCCAGTAAAAAAACGTATAAAATGACGCGTATAAACTACAACATAAAAACGATAAAAAAGTAAAAAACATAACAAAAAACGACAAAAGAAACGCTGTACTAAATAAGTTGTTAAAAAGCGCAAAACAAAAAAGTTTATAAATAAAAGCGATAAAGAAGCGACAAAAAGAGGAGTCATCGAAAGAGACAAAAAAGCGCCAGAAAATTAAACAAAACAATTTCGATTAGCAAGTTACCACTTTACAGAGTAGTTGGTTTTATAGTTCCTAAGTTAAATTTTAAAATTTGTCATATCTACAATTATTCTTTTTTCCAAAACTCTGGATGTATAAGGACCAAAATGAAGACAAATTAATAAATGATATGGACAAAAGCATGTTATTCCATAAGATTCAAGTAGCATTTACTGCGTAAATTTTTGATCCAACGTCATCAAATAGTTGGTGGGGATGATCAGACAAATTCTGAATACTGCTTTATCATGTGTACATTCTTAAAATATACCTATACTTTCATAACAAACAGTCCAGTAGTTTTGGAAATTATCTGTTTAACAAAATTGCCAACAGATGATATATAATACAGAGACAATAGACAGAAGGGAACGTGAGACCTACTGTTTCATATTCTAGGTATTATATATGTAGTATTAGTGAATTCTTATATTCTCCAAGCTTAGGGTCGGGAAGTAAAAAACGAGTGACAGTAAATGAATATGAGAAACCATTGCGAGAAAAGTCGGTTAGTTAGAAAGCTTTGGAAAATCAGTAGATAGAAATTCTTAGAAAAAGTTCTAGATGTCTTCGAAAAATAGATTTAGTCAGCATTTATGTGTTTTGTGTTGTGATGATGGCGAGACTGTTGTTTAACAGAAGATTCCGTAAGTATTAAACAATAAACTCTTACCTGGGTTGAACATGGCTAGACCTTCTACTGTCAGCGAAATCTGGTGGCACAGGCAAAGTCGTCAGTAGGTCTGGATCTTCGATAGTCGAATCCCTTCTTACATCAGGCATCGGTGATATGTTAGCTAACCTTGCTGTCAAAATAGAACTCGTCGGTGACGGGCACGAACTAACGTCGGTACTAGATCCAGATTCTATAGTCGGTAGCTTCAGAGAATCTACTTTTGGGGGTTCAAGTTCCTCCTTATCCAAGTCCGTACTGAGGGAGATCTTGACCGTGGGTATACTCGAAGACTCTTGTCTGTTCTGTTCGTCTACCACTTGCTCAGTGTGCTCAACCAAATTTCTGATAGCCCTTTTTAGACTATTCGCCCTCAGCATCAAAGCGTCCTTCTCGCGCTCCATAAACCTCGAGGTCCGTCTATGTTTACGAAAATTGAAATTGCTCAAATCTTTCTCCGATTTCTCCGTTTTGCCCCTATCAAAAGATACTTCGCTATCTGTATCTTCTTGTTTCGTTTTGGCATCCTCTAAATTTGCCGCATCTAATTGTTCGCTGGTTAACGTAGCTAATAATAAATCTAACTTCTGTTGTAAAATATCACACTTTTTCCCTAACTGCTCATCACCTCTAGTTATCGAACTTTCCGAGACTTGCGTCGCGAATTCTTTGACAGTTTCGCATAGCCGCTTCGCCGAATTTAAAATTACTGACGTTTCGTCCGACTGAAGAATATTTTGTAAATGCGTAACTAAAGAATCTTCATATTGAGTGATCTGGTTGTGTAATTGACCGTCGGGTTGACCAGGGGTTAAAGATAGTTTAGGCATTGCTATCGTACGTTCAAAGGCCATTATCGACCAACGGTCCAACATTTTTGTTCCAGCTTTTTCGTACTTCTCCAGCAGCTGTGGCAAGTGGGTGTCATCATCGCAGGATGAGCCCCAGCCTAACACGCGAGCTAGGTCGTTGCCAGTGCCCAAAGGAAGCACTGCCACTTGGCACTGTTTCTGAAAAGAGGAGTAAACAGTTAGAATTTGTTCAGTGGCTTAACACAGTAAGGTATTAATAATAATAATACTTTACTTTAATAATAATACTTTATTGTCCAACAGGAAAAAAAGGTATTGTTATTATTTAATAACTAGAATAACAAAGAAACGTGTTTCTACTAACGCGTTGATCTTTTCGTTATACCATTGTGGGGTGATCAGATGATTGAAACGGTATTGCGTTTTGGCGTATTTATTTTGATGTTGTCGGTTCAGCAGATGAGGGAAGAATCTTGGAGTTTGTGAATTTGAAATGAAAAGAAAGGTCGGTAGAAAGCGGTGAAACCGGTTGTATCAAAAGAGTTCTTGGAAGGTATTTGAAAGGATAAGAATTATTGCGAAGGGTGAACACAAGATAGGTTTTGCGACATGCTGGTGGACGAAGAGAAAGTTTCGGGGTGATACTGGTTGGAAGTATTTAATACAGATTATATACAAATATACAAAGACTATACAATTTTGTGGAACTTGCCAGCCCCACACCATTAAAATCTTTCCCCTCCAAAAAATTCATGACGTCATCTGAAAATTTTGCTAAAAGGTGCAAAATATGATTAGTCTATAAATTAATGCACCAGGCAATTTATTTTATTGTTCAAATTCATCACGAATTTGCGAATTGGCGCTATTATTATTAGTATTACACTTACTAAAATGTTGATAATTTCATCTAAAAATTTTGTAATGGAAACACTCATTTGGAACCCACGTATAGGATGCTTGTTTACCTGCACTTTAATAATCCACACTTCTTTATTTTAGCATTTACGAGTTATCATGAAAAAAATTAAAATTGCAATATCAAATTTTACAATTTTTAGAAGAAACTGGATATTCAGGGCCCAGGGAAGTTCTGTCTAAATAACCTTAGACCAAATTTTTTTATGTAAAAATGATGTCAAGTATTGGTTTTTGACTAATAGTTTTCAAATGAGGAAAAACAACTAACACAACTAATTCTACAATTAAAACATCAAAGTATAAACATGTGTTTAAATAAATAAGAAAAAATAAGGTTGTTTTTGGATAAAATTACCTGGATAAAACGTGATTTATTTTAAAAATCTATATTACTTAAAAGTTTTGTAGTTAAAATACTTGTTTTAAATGAAGCCAAAATTTTTATTCTTCGATTTTCTGTAAAATAGGACATACAAAAAAATCTCTTGTAAACTCAATTTATGGACATACTGTAGATTTGTATTTTTGGTTAAAAATGGTTATATGTATCTATATATTTAAAAATTCACGCATCCTTGGGTTATGTTTAAACTTATTTTTTTAGGTGATCAGTCTAGTCAAAGCAAAGTCACTTCTTTGTAGTGAAATGTCAGTTGTCGAAAACTTACTTTTGTGTCCTTGGTCTTGTGTTTCTGACCAATATTTTTTTAAATGGAAAATCCTAAAGCACCTTTATTTGAACTCTCTTTCTTTGTGGCTTTAATACACAAATAACTGTAGAGATATTTATTTTCTAGTGTTTTTATTATTTCCCAACCGTAAATTAAGGAAGTATACAGGGTGTTATTGAAAGGTACGTACAACAAAATGGACAGTTCTTCGCGAAGTCTAAGAAGTCGGAAAAACTTATTTTGTGTTATCAAAATTATAAGGGGAAAACTAACCCTTATCCAACCTTTTTAGACGCTACTGAAGGATAAATAGGTAAAATTAATTTATTTTAGTAAATCCTAGCAACTGTAATAATAAAACTTTTGTCAAGACTAAAGGTTGCTATAGAAATGAAAGGTGATCTTTTTATCAGAGGCGTACAACGAATTTGGACATAAATTTTAATAATTTTTATCTCTAAAAGGAGAACACTTTTACCTGAACTTTTTTTAACTTTTAGCACCTATACTTCTAAACCAATTGCCGATTTTATTTTGTACGTACCTTTCAATAACAGGCTGTATAGTAGTAAGTATGTAATAGGGTCCCCCCACGAATGGACACTTTTAAGTTTCCTCGATGTTTCATTAGGTCTCACGTTTCCGTCTGTATGTCCTCTATATCGATTTTTATTAGATTAATTATCTTCGAAACTTGACCGAGTGTTGTCAAATTTTATATGTATTGTTACGAAATAAACCCATACGCCACCCCGGTATGACATCAATGGACCGTCAAGAACTGTCTAGGGTGGACGGCAATGACGGGTGACTCATCGTTGGTGACGCGGCCCAACGACGTTCGAAAAGTCTGGAAGCGGAAGTTGCGAATACCCAATTTGAGAAAGACCGCGATCGCCGAAGTATGGTTTTAAATAGAGGCTGCCTCCGGGAACGATTATTATTCAGTGGAGCCAATATTAAGAAGAGCCAAACAAGTCGCGCCGGAAATAGTTTGTACATAATCGCTGTGAGTTAGTCGTGTATATACGAGTTAGTCAGGAATGAATTGTTGAGTTTTACTCACGCCGATTTTAATCACCCGTTCAACGTAACAGTATGTTAAGAATATAGTGCAGATGCGTAGTCCATTTTTTAACATTCTATTTTTCTCTCTTATATTGCTTGTGTTTATCGCATTTTTTGACGTCTTCTTTTTGCCTTTTTTTGTCATTTGTTATTAATTTTTTGGTGGTTTCTTTACACATTTCTGATGCCCTTCCAAAGTTTTTTTCTTGTTTTTTTGTCCCATTTTTGTAACTGTTTTTTTGTTTTTCTTTTTGTTTTTATTGTGGGTTTCTTTTTTAGTGTTGGCTTTTGTTACTTACTTTTTTATTCACTTTCATTGTCGCTTTTTGTTGCTTTTTTAATCGAGTTTTATGTAGCTTACAACTTATGTTTGTCACCTTTTTTCGTTGCCTTTTATTCCTTTTTGTGTTTTATTACTTTCTTTTTTGTCGGTTTTTAGCAGCTTTTTTGTTATATTCTTTGTCATATTTTTTGTGGAGTGTTTTACTATTTTTTTTCCATTTTTGGGATTTTTAATAGTCTTTTTTTTGTTGTACTTTTTTATCGCCTCCTTTGCCGCTTTATTACAGCTTAATTTCATTTTTGTCGCAATTTTTGTGTTTTTTTGCTTACTTTTTCGTATTTTTTTCGTCTTGCCTTTTTAATTGACTTTCGTACCTTTTTTTCGCTTTTTCTTTGGCGCAATTTACTGTCCCCTTGGCAAAACAAAACTTTGGTAACCATTCTGAAATGTTATATGGTTCTGAGTTCTTTATAATCTTTTTTTTCGAGATCAAATTTGTTCAGCTCTATTGTAATAACTTTCCTGGCATTATTGTTGGGGTAAACCCAATAAATCTCGTATGAAAAGAAAGTTTAGTTAAGAGACAAATTCAAAAGTGTTATACAATACTGTTTTTGCATAAATTTAAAAACCAAGAGAAAACTAACAATTTGGGAATTTAATCATCCTGTGAAAATAAGTTAAAATATGGTTCCATTTTTACTTCTCGAGCGTAAGCGAAGGAAGTATTGTAATCGAGTCCGTCGACCGACTTTCTACTTTTACGTTTTCTAGACCTTTCATGTCCCCTATAGTACGAAGAAATAGGTCTGCTGTTTCCGTCTCTCCGTCTATCTGTCCGTCTGTCCGTCTGTCCGTCTGTCCGTCTGTCCGTCTGTCCGTCTCTCTGCCGTCCCGGATTTTTATTAGACAGATAATCTCCGAAAGTACTAGGCCGATTGTTGTCAAATTTTGTGTTTATATTAAGAATGTAGATGGTAAAACTCTAACCAAAATTTGTTAAATCATCCCCACCAATAATGTGATGACGTCACTGCAAAATTGTACATAGTAAATGGGTTTTAAATTGTATAAAATAACAAAATATGATGAGTCTATACGTGTGATTTATAATTCCATTCATATCATATATCATATTTTTGGATTTGCGTATGCAGGATAACTCAAAAAAAAAAAATGAATGCGTGAATCTATTGTACTGACTTAATCAGAAACTACAAAAAACGGAATGCTTTGAAATCTTGCAGACGTTTTGAAGTTATTGCAGGGACGTTAAATTTTTAATAAAAATATGTATATCTCTTTATCTCCCCAAAAACTGATGATGTCATGTCGAAATACGTGTTCTTGCAAAAATGATGACTAACGTCATCACAAAATTTTGTAAAGGAAAAACTTATTTGAAACAAACGCGTAGCATGCTTTTTTACATTTACTTTAGCATTACATATTTACATATGTTTATTTCAACTTATAGTGGTTCTCATAAAAAATATAAAATCCACAAAATCAAATTTTATAATTTTTCGAAAATACTGAATGTTTCATTGTACTTCAGGAGCGAGGGACGTTCTATCGAAACAACTTTCGACCAATTATTTATTTATACTTTTTGCAAGACAGAGTAACTAAAAAGATTTGTGCAATGTTCCAGGTTTCCACTTTTAAATATGCCGGAGTTGAGAACTTTTCCATGTGATTATTTTTTTAGATAAAATTACGAATATGTTGAACACTGTTATAGAACGGCAATGGTTATTTTTGTGTTTTGTGTATGTTTGTCAAAATTTATCTTTGTTGTAATTAAATAAATAAATATGACGCATTTGTAAAACACACTTATCAGGTAAGTAAAAATATTCTTTCCCTTCCCTGTCAAATTTAAAATGTTGAATTTTGTGTTAAATAAAACGTGATAGTAAAATTTTCCCATGGAAGAGGTAACTGCGTGATTTTTCATACATTAGAAAATTCAAATGTCAACAAACATTATGTTTTCAACATGGAAAATTGTTAGGCACACAAGCAGATCGAGAAACTCGTGAAAAATTTACATTCCTCAGGATGGCGTAGACATTTTTCATAAAATATTCCCTAATATACATTCCCGCCATCGTTTCTTTTTACATGACCCAGATTTCCGATTTTAATACAATTTAACTTTGCAACTAGGTTTATGATTTTAAATTTTAAATTAGATGGTTTTGTGTCATTCCTTCAGCAGGTGGACTTTGAGTTTCAATGAACATGAGGGA